TGTGATTATAATTGATATGATTATGAACAGTGATGAATTTTGTTCGAAACCTTGTCATCCAGTAAATAATACTGTTTCACTGACTGTGTGATACATCTAATAAACAAACTAATAAGGAATTACTTACTACCACAGTGCCCAAGTTTTACACATATATTAGTAATCCAGAAAAGTTCATCAGGAAATACATGCATGAACAAGATAGTAGAACAAGACTATTCTCTATCTGTATACAAGAAGAAGTCTATATACATATACGACTGCAATTCATCAAGGGTGACGTACCAAGTGATGAAATAATCACTAACAAGTTAAGAAAATCTATTCACATCAAAGAACTTTTAATGCTGGTAAATTACATGTCATATTTTCTATACGACTGGTTATGATTCCTCGATTGGAAGATGAAGTACCTAGACCACACTAGTCGCCTCTAATTGTATCTACCAATTTAACTGAGCTTGTGGTGGAGCGAGTTAGTCATATTTACCGTTGCTCTAGGAAATGGATTTTTCGTGCTCACTAGGGAACACCTACCAGTGTGGTGTGGCTAAATAAAGGTGAAACGAAAACCACCACCTGGTCCACCCACCCACCCCCCTGGCAGTGAAGAATTCTTCTCCATCATCATCTATCAGGTACCAAATAAATTGCCAAAAGCATTCAGGTACCAAAGACTCCAAACACCAGAGACTATTGTGATCCACCTAAAACAACCGGTGCTTTGTGTGTGTGCAGAAGAAACAGGTCCAGCTAACCAGCCACTATTATTGCCCTGGTCGACCGACCTTCTGTGGGACCACAATATGTTGTTATCTGCTTGACATCATAAATGGCTGATATTGGAATAAAACTTGTGCACTGTGGTGGTAGAGTATAATTCCATTATGGGTAAAAATTTATTTTGATAAAGTCTCACAGAGTGTTATACAGTATATATAAATATTTACTGAGCATAAAAATTGTGCTCGAAACGTGGTCATCAGTAAATATTACTGTATAACACTCTGTGAGACTTTATCAAAATAAAATCTTATCCATAATGGAATCATAAATGGCTCTCTGAACTGAGTCGAACCCGGTGGGTGGTTAGTACACCGCTGATGAGCTCGACTCTAGACAATGTTAGCTGACTGACACAGGATGGATCAGGTTGGAAAAGAGTTGGTTAGTGGTGGTTATACGAAAACATGGCTTCATCTGTCAATGAAATCCACAACAGTTAGCTCAAGCCAGTCACGTAGGGAGGTGTAGACTTCCTGACTGGTTGGGGTCCTCGGGATGGTAAAAACCAATGACAGTGGCTGGAGACGACACTTGGTGATATGGCTCAAAATCCTCGTTCTCAATGGCTGGCGAAGATGCATCCATTCCTTGTGATTTATAATATCCAATAAAATTCTATTGTTGCCCCATATTACTATTATTTTGCCTCATTATTATTATTTATTATTGTTCCCTTGGGTTCCTAGTGGAACATAGGGCTTCAACTGCACGTCTCCACTTCCTTCTGTCTTCTGCTGTTCTTTTCACTTGCGTCCATGTTATTCCATACTGTTTCATCTCCTCCTCACACGATCTCCTCCATGTCACCCTTGGACGTCCCACTCGCCGCTTCCCTTTCGGGTTCCACTCGAGGGCTTGACGCGCGATGTCACTCAACGGCCTCCTCAGCGAGTGTCCAATCCATCTCCACTTCCTCCTGCATATTTGTTGGGCGATTGGTTCCTGTTTCGTTTGTTCCCATAGCTTCTTGTTGTTCTTGTTCTTTCCCGCCATCTAATCTTCAGTATGGAGCGAAGACAGTTGTTGATAAAGGTCTGCAACCTGTTGAAAATATTCTTGGTGACCCGCCAAGTTTCTGATCCGTAAAGCAAAATTGACTTCACGTTTGTATTGAAAATCCGAATTTTGTTGTTGATGGTGAGTGACGAAGATTTCCAGATTGGTTTCAGGTTGATGAATGTGTTTCTGGCCTTCCCGATTCTCGATTTGACATCCTCGTCCGTTCCTCCTGTGGTTGAGACAATGCTCCCCAGATAAGTGAAAGAAGTAACCTCTTTCAAATCCCTCCCGTTGATGGTGATTGGCACTGGATGTTGCTGCTGTTGTTGGTTGGTTATTTTCATAACCTCCGTCTTGTCTATGTTCACCTGGAGTCCTGTCTTTGCTGCTTCTTCGACCAGTTTGTCGGTTTTTGCTTGTAAGTCTTCGATTTTGTGTGACATCAAACATAAATCATCCGCAAAATCCAGGTCTTCTAGGTTCTTCACGTCGGTCCAGGGTATCCCTGTCTTCTCGTTTCCCACTGTCTGACGCATAATCCAGTCCACCACAATTAGGAATATCATTGGTGATAATAAGCACCCTTGTCTGACTCCTGTGTTTACTCCAAACGCTTCGCTGAGTTTTCCGTTGTGGATCACTTGACATGTGCCGTTGTCGTACAGTTGTTGAATAAGGTTGATGAATATTTGCGGTACGCCGTAGTACTCGAGTAGTTTCCAAATTACTTCGCGGTCAACGCTGTCGAAGGCCTTCTCAAAGTCTATGAAGTTGAGGTAGAGATTTGATTGCCATTCCATGCTTTGTTCGATGATAATGCGTACAGTTGCAATTTGGTCAGAACATGATTTGCCTTTCCTGAATCCAGCTTGTTCTGGTCGGAGTTCTGTATCCAGCGCGTCCTTGATTCTCTCCAGGATGATGCGACTCAGGATTTTACTTGGCGTCGACAGGAGCATGATTCCTCGCCAGTTCTTGCAGAGTCCCAGGTCGTCCTTCTTTGGTAGTTTCACCAGGTAACCTTTCCTCCAGTCAGTAGGCACCTTTCCCTCTTTCCAGATCTTTTGCAATAATGGAGTCAGCATATCTGCCGTCGTTTCTGGGTCCGCTTTCAGTGCTTCCGGGGGTATTCCATCTGGTCCAGCTGCTTTTCCAGCTTTCAGAAGCTTGATTGCATTCATGACTTCAGTTTTCGTTGGAGGATTGGTGTCAACTTGCAGTTGTGTACGTGCTGTTGTTGGTATTACTGGACGGGTTGTAGGTGGTGGTCGGTTCAAGAGTCCTTTGAAGTGGTCCGCCCATTGTTTAATCTGTCTTTCTTCTTTGGTAATTGGGTTCCCTTGGCTGTCTTTTATAGGTTTCACTTGTGTTGATCTCTTCCCGGATAGAGACTTGGTTATCTGATATAGTGTCCTCAGGTCCCTTTTGCCTGCTGCCTTCTCAGCTTCAGTAGCCAGGTTGTCGTAGAATTGTCTTTTGTCCTTCCTGGCACTCTTCTTCACTTCTTTGTCCAGTGCTGTGTAAGTTGAGTTCAGCGTCTCTTTCTCTTGTCCATCTTTGCATTGAATCATTTTTTCTTTCACCTTTCTCCTCTCCTCTATTAGTTTCCAAGTGTCTGTTGAGAGCCATTCCTTGTCTTGTTTCTTCTTTCTTCCTAAAACCGTTGAGCACGTTTCGTTGAAAATTACTTTCAGAGAGTTCCAATGGTCTTCCACGGATGATTCCTCAGTGGTGCCACGTAGTGTTTCCTGCTTTGCTCTGACAGTTGCAGTGAAAATGTCCTGTGTGATTGTGTCCTTCAGTTTGTGAGTGTTGAACTTGCATTGTGGCCTATCCCCAGGTATCCTCGAGGCTTTCAGCTTCACCTTGAAAGTCCCTTGTACCAGATAGTGGTCTGAACCCACATCTGCTCCTCTCCTCGATCTTGTGTCCAGTAGGCTCCGTCTCCACTTCCTTGAGATTGAAATGAAGTCTATCTGGTTTTTGGTGTGTCCATCTGGTGAAATCCATGTTGCCTTGTGTATATCCCTGTGTTTGAACACACTGCCACCAATCACCAAATCATTGAAGGCGCAGAAGTCTGAGAAGAGTTCACCATTGTCGTTCATTTCACCGAGGGCCTCACGACCCATGGTGAGTTCTCTTCCTGTATTGTCTCCTCCCAGTTTCGCATTCATGTCGCCCATCAGGATTTTGATATCGCTCTTTGGGACGTTGTCCATTACTGTTTGTAGTTGACTGTAGAAATCCTCCTTCTTCTCATGTTCTGAGGCGTTTGTAGGCGCGTAGCACTGAATGATTGTAACCTTTTTTCCTTTTGAGTTGAACCTGGCTGTCATTATCCTGGAGGAGATTGGTTCCCACTGCATGAGAGCTTTAGCCGCTGTTGGTGACATCATGATGGCTACTCCCTCGGTGTGCTCGTGATTGTCCTCTGGGTGACCGGAGTAGATTATTGTCTCTCCAGTTGATAGTTGGCTCCTTCCACATCCGTTCCATCTGCTCTCGCAGATTCCCAACACTTCTATTCTATATCTCCTCATTTCTGCGGCTACCTGAGCAGCCTTCCCAGCTTCGTACATTGTACGAACATTCCACGTCCCCATCCTTATTTTCGCTTTCGTCGAAAGAAGGCACATCGGCTGACTGGCTTCCCGAAGGCTTTCACCAGCCCGCGTCATTTCACTTCCCCGATTCCAGCGAAAAATAAGGTCACTATTTGTAATTTTAGAATTTTGAATATATTTGTGCGTTGAAGTTTTAGTAGCAATTTGGTTAAGTTTTGGGGGTGGAGTTGCTAGCACCACGCCCCAACCCTCCCTCTTTATCCGGGCTTGGGACCGGCTAGAATACTAGTGACCTAGTAATCTAGGCGAGGTTTTTTTGCCTCATATCTCTGTTTATTCTCTTCTCTTGCTTCGTGTAATACATGGAGGGAGTGTGTGGCAACTGGAACTGCTGCACATTTGTGCAAAGTTCTACGTTGAAACCAGTCAGTCAGTCAGTCCACCCTAGATAATCATAAACATAATTAAGATCTGGCTAACCAGCAAATACTAAATTATTTATATGAGTAGTAACCAACTACTGACAATCGATCAATCAGTAGTATACACGAAAACAGACTCTTTTTGACTAAAAAGTACCATAAGAAAGAGTGAGCATCACTAATCAGAAAAAAGTATATTTACAAAGGACAAAACTGAACAACTTACGACGAGGACATCCACTATCGGACATTGGGAATAAATCAAGTCGTCGGTGATACTCTACTGGTATTGATTTTCGTACACGATATATTTTAGGCATACTAGACATTGTTGAATCATTATCTGGCATTGTGAAAGGACCTATCTCACAGATTAATAGACCTGGACCAGGATTATGTTGTTCAGCGATTATTTGACCCCATGGATCAATAACTAAACTATGACCATAAGAGGATCGTTTATCATTGTGGCTTCCTTCCTATGTAGAAAAAAAATAAAAATAAAAATAGAAGGAATCAGAAAACACCAGCTAAAAAGAATAAACCTCAACAACATGATATCGATTTATTTCAACATGAACTGACATTGGTTAGAGAACCATTGGGAAACCTGGGAGTACTGGACAGCTGTTTCATTAGCCTAGTTTCGGACTCTTCAGCAGTACGTACCCACACTGCGGGGTATGTCAAAGGTCGGGTGTGAGGACAAATACTCACCAGCGATGACATTGGCTAGTGCCAGTCGCGCTATGTCGTGAATTGGCAGAAGTTAGAATTCATGGGCTGGCCAGTGGATCGGGTCCCAGTGGCTGCTTAATGGTCTACGAGCTAGCTCGCCTTGTAACCGGAAGGCCCTGGGTTCGAACCCCGCAGTGTGGGTGCGTACTGATGAAAAGTCCCAAACTAGGCGGACGAAACAGCTGTCCAGTACTCCCAGCTAGATTTCCAATGGCTCTCTAGCCAATGTCAGCTCATGATGAAATCCTGTAACCAATCAAGTCCCTACAAACCAACACTTGAATATGATATCGATTTAATTTGGTGGTGAATACCATCGCGAAGGACTCTTCTCAGAGGGGAAGGGAGTGAATACAGTTACCACGAACGAAACTGGCAGCAGCGTCGTTAACTCACAAATCAGTAAAATCAGTAAAACTATGTGATATTGGATTTCACAATTCAGTATTTGACTGACAAACACATTTACAGTTTAACTTGAAGGATCTAAATTCGAACCCTGATGGTGTCTTGTGCGGTTGGGCACTGTTACAGTCTTAAACTGAGACGAAACAAACCTGAAGTATACCTAAACTTTCAATGATTTACCAGTTGCTATCACTTGTTTGTGGTGATTTCCTTAAAAATGAATCAATGTCCTGAAAGATTCAATAAATATGTAGTGGTTATATATGTTGATATGTAACTGCCGGCCAAACGACGGAAGGGAATTGAAAAAAATACAAATGAACGGGTTACTGAATGTCCTTTGATGTATATAGAGTAGCGTGGGAACCAGAACTTATCTAATGAAGACTAAAGATGAAAACTAAATGAGAAACAGAGTAAACTTGCAGTTGAAAAGAAAAAGAAGAAAAACTGTCATAGAAAACGTAGACAGTTAGGAAAAAAAGAGGGGAATAAACAGGGCTGGAGTAGTAGACTATCCAAACATATTGATTGGTCGTCATGAGTCTCTAGTTCTTAATAGTGATGCTGACCAGATTCTAGTTGTCAAGTTTATGATGCGGTTACTAAGCTAGCTGACTCGCCATCACGGTGCACTGTGCAGCAGTTCGAGTTGACACTCTCCTTCTATGTATCATACAAAGCAAGAGAAGAGAGTAAAGAGAGGAGATTCAAAAGAGAGACATAATAAAGCAGAAGTGTGAAGGAAAAAGAAGAATAGTAATATGGAAGAACAAGAGTTTTATTGGATATGGTTGATCACACAGAGTGATTGCATCTGAGCTGTCATTGACAACGATTTGCAGCTATATCACCAATTGTCTCCAGTCGCCATTGATGCTTACCATCCCGAGGACGCCAACCAGCCAGTCAGGCAGTAAACACCCCCCCCTATGTGGCTGGCTGGCTAGAACTGCCTTGACTGATGAAGTCATGTTTTTGTTTGACTACCCACTAGCCCCTTTCCAATCTGACCGATCCTATGTCAGTTTACACTGCCCGTCGAGGAAGGCAATAGCTAGACATGCGTAACACATGTCCTAACCTCAATATCACTCAACCCTATTATACCACCTAATCCAGGAGATACAACACAGACACCTATGATCAAAGACAGCCAGCTAGCCAACACTGTCATGTCTTCCACATTCCGTGGAGGCTATGTCTCACTCACAACAGCGAAATGACTTCCGCTGAGCCTGAGCAATACACAAGTCCGATGATCGACAGCCAGCAAGCCAGTCGGACATCACGTCTACTAAACCACAGATGGTTTAGCTTGCTTGGAAAATGCCAAACGAGCCTTCTATATCCATGCTGAGACTTCGTCAGCCTTCAGCCTGCTCGCACTGGCTAATGCAACTTCCAAAATAAGTGAAGTAAGCCGTCAACACGCTGCACCAAACACTTCACACCTTGCCTATCCTCAAGCTATGATTGAGTCGATGTAGTCCAGTTCAGTCCTTTAGCATCAACATATATTTAACAAAGAAAGCGAATCGCATGCCAAAGATTCGAAGATAACAGGTCAAGGAAGAAAAAGGTCAAATTTAAAAAAACCCATTGAAATGAATGTTTAATGAGTTGAATTAGGGAAGACAGGTAAGGACAAACAAAATATTCCTCTAGAACTCCCTCCGAGGTTATATTCACGCCTCAGAACTCAAAGAATGTCAAACGAGGACAACAATACAACAAACGTATGATGATGACAAAATGTACAACACATCAAGTTCAGTTCAGTTTACACTTTTGTTAAGCAGAGCAGACCAGAGAAGGACACGTACACACACACACACAAAGAAAGAGATGAGGTCACCTACGAACATTATCAAGTACAAATCAACTACTACAATGTGATAATTTCATTAGATGAATGCAAAATTTTCATTGATGAAATGTAAGAAGAAAAAGAAGAGCATTGAATTTCCATAAGCCACACCTATTGCGTGTGTGTGTGGGGAGGGAGAAAGAGGGGTTAAACCTCAGTAGGTGAAATGCAGTTGGAACCTGACACTGACTCATTGAAAGTTCACCGCCTACAACAATAGAAAGGACACAACTCTACACTGTACAAAAGTTCGCGTATAATACTTGAACACCCTTTAATAACAACATCTTACAGGTATTCAATTCACATAACCACAGTTGTACAACACAACAGTTGTTAGTTATCTTGTGTGTCAATAACCGACATCAATCGATGATGTTAAGAGAAAGAAGAATCATACATAGCCTAATTAACTCTCTCTCTCTTCTATCTCCTCTCTAGACTACTAAAACAAAACAAACAAAAATGAGGTGATCACATATCATCTAAGAAATATAAAAATAACACAAAGAATTTGATCTATTTTTAAAAAAGAAGGTTTTTGGCCACCTTCAATTTAAAATATGAATGCGACTACATTGAATAATGAGGTTTGTTAATTAATTAACAAGATAGTTTTAGAAGAGAAGAAGAACTAGAAGCAGAAGAATAAAGGATATCGCCAACAAAATGAACAATAAACATACCACAGTCAAATGACCTTGAACCAAACAATCACATCGCGCTCAGCATTACAATCGATGGATGCATCATGCTTTGCACAATCTTAATCATAAACCAACCTTAATCCTACACTAAACTTAACGCTGAATGAGGGTGAAACTTGCTTGCAATGAAGATTATGAAAAGTACTCATTCATTTGTAATGCTTAGCGATATGATTGGTTGGTTCAGGGTCATTTGACTGTGGTATCTATTCCCCATTCCTGCCTTGTTCTCATTGAAAATAACTAACCATGATAAAATCTATGATGTCTGCACCACTAAAGCGATACGTACTTTTTGTCTTCAACAGAACTGTCTATGTGAATCTGCATTTCAGTAGAGACTCATTGGCAGAAAGAAATACTGAGAAACCGCCCGTTCTGTATACTGAAGGAAACCTTCTTCGCGGTTGAACTTCGTGGTACTCTCTCTCTCTCTCTACAAAACTAATGATTCGACTGAACATAGAGGATAAACTACAACTGATGGCCTAACCAGTGTGTGTATCTAGCAACTCGCCAGCTCCTGTACTGCTAGTTATATCGACCTTAGTGAGCGTTCGCTATCCAAACGTATTACCAAATATTTACCTTCGTGATTTTACAGAGGGAAAAGAATACTCCACCGTCAGCTGTATTTTCGAACACATGGGTGATTCTCAACACCTAACAGAATAGCAAACTAACTTCATAGTCATCTACAGAGTAGGCGAAGTTCCACACATTAAATGCTGAACTCTGCATACAGAAGAAGTCTGTTCATTCAGAGAACCTACAGTGGACCACATTTTTTGCATAAGTTTCTTAGGTTTTTCAATTTCATTATTTACTTTCCCTTTTCCCTTTGTTACAATTGTACTTCTCACGACAGTGATCTTAACGCGAACCTGTTTCAATTTCAGTAGCGATCTACTCAAATTACTCACTTCAATTTTCCTCAGTTTCTACCCAATTGATACCTTCTGTATAATCTATCTTCTTTTATATATATATTTCTTTATTCCTTTACGTTTCCAGTGGAACATAAGACTTCAACCTAGAGCTTTGAAGTTTCGGTAGGGGAGGTATTTATTTTTACGGGATGGGGTTGCTAACCCCATGCCCAACCTTCCCTCTACACCAGTCTTATTACTGGTTTAGCAAAGTAAAGGAGTGCGTCTAGTGGCCCCGGGATCGAACCCCGGACCACATGTGTGGTTTACGAGCATTCTACCTGTGTGCCGACCACCGACGCACACAATCAGATCGCTAAGCATTACAAATGAATGAGTACTTTTCATAATCTTCATTGCAAGGAAGTTTCCCCCTGATTCAGAGTTAAGTTTAGTGTAGGATTAAGGTGGGTGTATGATTAAGATTGTGCAAAGCATGATCCATGCATTGTAATGCTGAGCGCGATGTGATTGTTTGGTTGAAGGTCATTTGACTGTGGTATGTTTATTGTTCATTTTGTTGCCGATATCCTTTATTCTTCTTAAACTATCTTGTTAATTAATTAACAAACCTCATTATTCAATGTAGTCGTATTCATATTTTAAATTGAAGGTGGCCAAAAACCTTCTTTTTTAAAAATAGATCAAATTCTTTGTGTTATTTTTATATTTCTTAGATGATATGTGATCACCTCATTTTTGTTTGTTTTGTTTTAGTAGTCTAGAGAGGTAGAGGTGGAGAGAGAGAGAGTTAATTAGGCTATGTATGATTCTTCTTTCTCTTAACGTCATCGATTGATGTCGGTTATTGACACACAAGATAACTAACAACTGTTGTGTTGTACAACTGTGGTTATCTGAATTGAATACCTGTAAGATGTTGTTTATATGTATGATATAAGGTGGTTGTTATTAAAGGTGTTCAATTATACGCGAACTTTTGTACAGTGTAGAGTTGTGTCCTTTCTATTGTTGTAGGCGGTCAACTTTCAATGAGTCAGTCAGTCAGTCAGTGTCAGGTTCCAACTCCATTTCACCTACTGAGGTTTAACCCACCTTTCCACAGTCACACACGCAATAGGTGTGGCTTATAGAAATTCAATGCTCTTCTTCTCTTCCTTTTCTTCTTACATTTCATCAATGAAAATTTTCCATTCATCTAATGAAATTATCACATTGTAGTAGTTGATTTGTAGTTCATAATAACCGTAGGTGACCTCATCTCTTTCCCTCTGTGTGTGTATGTGTGTGAGCTAATGATACACCAACCGTGCAGAACAGGTTGAAGTTCATGGGGGAGGGGTATTTTCAGGTAATACCTGTTAAGTATTACTAAGAGTACAACATTATTTTGATATTGTTTAATAAACTTTTATGAAAACTGCAAAATGAGGGGGAAGAAGAAGAAGCGGCAGGCGTGATGGAGTGGGGTGATGGGGGGGAAAGAAAGCACTACTTACCTGAGCTGCAGCAACCACATAACATTGATTTTCAATAGCTCTAGCTCGAAGTAATGTATGCCAATGACCTGCTTCACCTGCACACATTGTATAGGCAGATGGATAGGTTATTACATGTGCATTTTTAGCATAACGAAGATGTCCTGCTAATTCAGGGAATCTCATATCATAACACTGAAAAATAAGAAAAGAAAACAAGAAAAAAACAACCAGTAAAATATATATATTTAGTATTTACCAGAGGAAATATGATTCAACAATACGTTAAGGATAAACTACCACTGATGTCCACCTCTATGTGCATCTATTCTCATTCACATACACTCGTGTGGAGAGCTGATTACATTGGATGTTGTAAGCGTGTTCTCCGTAAACCCGTAGCTGAACACTACCACCCGGTTTGGTTAATGAAAGGTGAGTAAAAGACGACAAAGTCTTGAATTTGTGAACACCTTCCCGAGTCAGGTCATTCAGCTCCCCCCCCACACACACACACACGTGATTTATCCTTCAAAGTTATCGGTGGTGAGAGCTTTCTGCTAGCCGAATCGGTAGACAACAATTTACGTCAATGTTTACGCCCAAATCTTGGTCATGAGAAAAGAACAAGAACAAAGCCTAGCCTAGCCTAGCCTCGAGGAACTCACCAACCAATCTCACAGCAGACTTTGCGTCAGCGGATACGATTAGCAGGTATATATCTCAACGGCAACAAAGAGATGACAGAGGAACCTTCAGCAGGAAAACAACCAATCAGAAGACGTTGCTTCTCTGCTAACAATAACGCTAATAATAATGTACATAAAAATCTATAAATATCGGTTGATTTTCTCAATAAACGATCTGTTGTCTGGCCCTTGTCTTCTGTCGTTACATATATATATATATATATATATATATTTGAAAATACATGAAAATAATAGTAATCATAAAAAAGGTTACTATCCGATCTGAAAAAGGGTAAGAATAAGTCATTGGGTTAGTAGTGGAGTTGTACATGTACGTTTTGTTCTATTTGGGACTCACCACCTGTATATACAAGCATCCCAACTAAGTGACAGTGTCTCTACTGAGATCTAAATCCACCAACCGTCACTTTAAGCGCCAAAGTATTGCCCAATAGGTTACCCAGAACAGCCTCTTGTTGCTGTTATTTGTTTAAGTTATTATTTCCCACTACAGACCTTCATCAACAGCTGTCTTCACTCAATACTACCCAAGATCAGATGGCCGGCCAGAAAAAATCAACAATAGGGATCTCTGGCAATGAACGAACCAACCCAGCAGGAACCGATTGTGTAACAAATATGCAGGAAGAAATGGAGGTGGATTGGCCATACTCTGAGAAAACCATCAAGTGAGTGACATCACATGCCAGGCTCTCTCTCGAATGGAACCCAAATGGGAAGCTGAGAGTTGGTCGTCAGTGCGAGGGTGACATGGAAGAGGTCATGCGAAAAGGAGATGAAAGCATTTGGGCAGACGTGGAGCCAGGTGAAAACGTTGGCGGAGAGCCGAACGTAATGGAGACGTGCGGCTGACGTGCGTCCTATGTTCTTCTAGGAACTAAAGGAAACAATAATAATTATTATTATTTACCAGCTGTCATGTGAATCAGTGACACGTTACTTGTTTCGTTTATCACTCTACTACACTCGCTCAGCAACCCCTAAGCGAAACATAACAACCAACAAGTATCGATCAGTTTCCACTGGTCATCCGGTTAACTGGCCAACTACACATCTGATTCAACCAGCGCGTCTGCTGAAGAGTCCCAGACTAGGAAGAAACGACTTTCCAGTACTCCCTGGTTCGTACACATCGGTGGTTCAATGATAAGACGCTCTCCAACCACTTGGGAGGTTTAAGTTCAACTCCCAACCGACGACGAATACACTCCTCAACCTTGCCGAGTTTGCTAGTCGGCAGTAAGCCCGGAAAGCAAAAGCAGGAAGGTTGGGCGTAAGGACAGCTATCCCACCCAGTAAAAAAAACAATGTCATCGTTACTGTGCGCGTCGGTGGCACAGCGGTAGAATGTTCACCAACCATGCGCATGTGGTCCGGGGTTCGATCCCCAGCCGACAGACGCACTCATTTACCTCGCTAAGGTTGGGCATGAGGCTGGCAACCCCATCCCATAAAAGTAAAACACCACTGTTATCGAAACTTCAGGTCTCTAGCTTGAAGCCCCATGTTCCGCTACTGGGAACGTAAAGGAATAAAATAATAGTAATAATAATAATCGTTACGGGAACTGCAAAACTGTCCCACTCAAAATGTAAAGGGGTGAAAAAAAAAATCATAAAACTAAAACATACAATTGCCAATCCCAGATTTCCGACAGGTGTATTTTCAACGACAACTGGAGTATTTTTACCAGCACGTATCGATTTCGACTCAGAAAATAATGATTGAGTAGACGATGACTAGAAGAAAAGAAGGGAGGGAGAGAGAAAAAGAAGCAAATTAATCAGGAGATCGCCAAATAAAAATTCAATCATGTGAAACTATTAAAATATAATCAGAACAGTCAAAAAAAAAAGAGTAAATGGTCCTGCCTATTAGGAAGGAACTTTTAAATTTCCGACGGATGAAAAACGAAACGATGTTGTGTGTTCCACTGACATTTGACTAAAGAGTAATAGTGAACCAGAATTTACCAAAAATCTTAGTTTATACGTGAGAAACAGTTCTGCGTTGTCAAATGACAGAATTAATAAATATGCGATAAGCACCACCCCCACCCGACCCCCGCCGACTTCTATAATCTAGGCAATTTATTTAATTAACTTCGGACTTTCCCGTTGATTAATTGGGCTGATGTGCTCGGCCGCCTCATATTGACATGTCGGCTCTTTGTGCGGATGCTTTGACGGCGTCTGAGAATTTAACTTGAAGAAAAATTGGTGGATGGTGACTAACAGTGGAATCCACTAGGATAACACGCGTTTCGTCCTATTTGGGACTCGTCAACCGGACGTACCTACATTCCTAAGTGAGTGACAGTGTTCCCACTGTGGTTCGAACCCAGTACCCATAGTTTTAAATGCCAAAGCGGGTTATCCACTAGACCACTTGAGCCATGAGAACCACCTCTTTCTTGTGCAGCGGGTATTAGTAATTATTTAATTCAATTTGGACTTTCCAGTTGATGCACACACACATCCTGGATTCCATTGCTAGTCACCGCCCGCCAATTTACTTAAAGACAATTTATTGTTACGTCTCACATACTACGGTTATCTCTATCTGATCATATTACCAAGAGTAGTATCGATTATAGTATCCTGCCTTCTCAGACAAAATAGTTGGGGGTTTATGCGTTAATTGACCTATTATTTCTTTATTTTCATAAGAATTAAAGTGACTAATACAGGCATGATCAGAGTACTAGGGAGGTCTGGCGCAAACACATCGCATTTTTTCTGATACAGTTCGACTTTTAGTAAATAAAGTTATCCAAGTTTGTTAAAGGGATTAAGTGTCCAGAAAGAGGACAGACGTATGCAAAATAGTACGCACCCAGCGGCGTTCAGACCTAGGATATTCGGGTTACAAGGGAGAGCAGGTCGGATGTGAGGAAAAATACTCGCCAGCGATGACACATTGGCTAGTACCAGCCGCGCTACCCCGTGAATTGGCAGAAGCTGGAATAATTGGGCTAGCTATTGGACTGACGTTTCGCTATTTAATGCTAATAGCTTTATCAAAGTATTATTAAACCGGAATTTACAAAATCTCAGCATATATATAACAAAGAGTTAAGAGGTGAGAAAATAGACTACTTAGGTCAAGTTAAAAGGACATATATTGAAAGTCAAAATAACAATGAAGATCACTAAACCAAATAACAAAGGTAATAGTACATCTGCTATGGTATCCAAAACAAAGTTTACTAACTTGATCATCATTCGTCAGTATGGGGTGATTTTTTTCGCTGTCAAATTGGCCAATTGGTAAAGATAACAAAACCAACGTGATAAACAATATCATTATATAAACACATGCTGTTTTATAATTTTACACACTGATCAAATCCAACAATCTACACACACTTGGTTTTGTTATCTTTACCAATTGGCCAATTTGACAGCGCAAAAAATGACCCCATACTGACGAACGATGATCAAGTTGGCAAACTTTGTTTTGATACCATAGCAGATGTACTATTACTTTTGTTATTTGGTTTAGTGATCTTAATTGTTATTATTTATCATAATGAATGATCGTCATTTCTCATTGTTTACGTTTCCATTGGTTGTTAGTGTGTGTGTACGTGTGCTCTATATACAAGACTAGACACAAGTGACATATTTGCGTCGATGGGTTGCTGTGAGTATTTGAAATCTTAATATTTTTTCGAGTGTATTGTTTTCCTGAAAACAGGCATTAAAATACTCTTTGTTTAACCACTTAACTATACAAACTGTAATAATAATAATATCCACAGAAATGACTTCATTCCAAACCCTACTGTCAATACAGAGTCAAAATCCTCAACATATAGTACAAATTTACACCTAACGCTCTCTACGCATTACGTAGCCATTTAAAAAATAATGGTAATAAGAACAGTGATATATAAATATACAAGACAATATACAAATTAATGAGAATTGCGACAACAACGGCAATACATTAATGATAGAAAGAATAAGACGAAGCCGTTTATTTCCTGCTGGACATTAGAGAGAGAGAAATAGCAAAGACAACTATCTTTTCGGTGATTTCATTCTCAAAAGCAGCTGAACAATCGCATTTATATACATCATAAGTTTTTACACAGATACATAACGACGAATGACTGACTGGTTTCAACGCAGAACTTTGCACCGATGTGCAGCAGTTCGAGTCGCCACACTCCCTCCTTCTAGCACACAAAGCAAGAGAAAGTAAAAAGAAATGCAAAATAGAGACAGTAGATAGAGATATGAAACAAAAAGAATAGTAATATCGAAGAACAATATAGTTTTATTGGGTATTATAAGTCACAAGGAGTGGATGCATCTGCGCTGTCATTGAGAACGATTTTGAGCCATATCACCAATTATCTCCAGCCATTGGTTTTTACCATCCTGAGGACCCCAACCAGTCAGGAAGTCTACACCTTCCTACGTAGTTGGCTTAAACTAACTGTCATGGATTTCATTGACTGATGAAGCCATGTTTTGGTTTGACCACCACTAGCTCTTTTCCAGCCTGACCCTATATCAGCTAACACTGCCTATTGTTGAGGAAGGCGATGACTAGGCATACGTGACACATGTAAATGACTCTGAATTTTGAGTCAGGTGTGTTGACGAGGTGTTCAATTATGGTGCTTCTCAGTGAACCAGTGCCTCCTCTTTGAGACCATGCTGGGTAATGTTCTCTAACACATTTTGATAGGACCCGCATAGAAAGACCCATGTACCTAGCTCCTCACGAGCAGGTGAACTGATATATGCACATTGGAGTGACCATATACGGAAGTTTGTCCTTCACACTGCTTAGAAGCAGTAGGCGGCTAGAGAATATCACTCTTAGAGTCTCTGTTGCGCAGTAAGTTAGAAATCTCATTCCTAACACTATTTTTTACATTACATGAAATTCGTTATTGAATTTTTGTTTAGTAGTGCTGGCTAGCATAAAGTCTTATACAATTGCTTCTTTTATATTATCTAAGGAGGTACAGGGGGGAGGGTTGTGAATGAAGGATGTCAACACTCTGATAAAATGAATTCTACCAATTTCTTGAGAGAGTTCAAATGTCTGTTAACAACGATACTAACGAGTTGGCCTAGAGGCCTATTACCTTACCCTACTGATAGCTTTTGATGCCTTTTGCTATAATAACGAAGTCTTTTTATAGTAGTCCAGGAAGAAATAAAGAAGAACGGCCTAAATGCAATATTTCACAAATACTGTTTCATATCCAATAAAAGAACATACGGATTAACACTATAGACTGTGAGCATTGACATCAAGCCATCTACTCAATATATTATTATGTCTATCAAAATTGATAAGATTAAATTGAAAAACAAATTAAGAAAATGTAGAGTGTGAAATCACTTACACTGACCTACAGTTTTGATCATTCGGGTCTGTATAATTTTGTCAAAAAACAAAAAACAAATTTCGCCCCTGTCAGCTGCGATAAACAGTATGCTAGTGACAAGTTGAAGGGCGCATCACAGTTGTGAAATAAATAGCCAGGTTAAGGCTATTTTAGATAACTCAAGCAGAACGTAATCACATGCTCCTGTTCTTTAGTTTAGCATCATATTAAGAATGAGACCCTCTCGTTGAGCAATTATTTATTTAAACGCAGAAAAACTTGGTATAATATGGCACCAAGAAAGATGCGCCACACAATAATAATAAAACAACATAGATTAAAAGTAAAAATATAAGTAGAAAACGGATAAAGAACTTCATCAGGAAGGAAAACAGTCATGTTTAACAAGTTCAAACAGTATTCGTTAACTATCATCAGGAAGGGAAGAAAGAAGGAAATTGCAACACGACACAGATAGGCTAGGAATCCAGACAAAGGCGAAAGGCTGCCAAAGGTTAAGAAGTCAAGGTGAGCAAAGGTAAAATACAGGAAACTAAGTATAAAAATAAAAGTAAGGTTGGAAAGAGATGTGTTACTTGAGACATCATTATTGCTTGAACGCATTGTTACGAGCGCGCGATAAGTTCCACTGATATTTTGTTGCTTTATTTCATTCAGTGTGTGAGGGCTGAGATACTGCCTGAGCGCCCAGACCGAAGCAGGTGGTTTTATTAAGAGACCACCCCCGAGGCTTTGACTTGGAGTCCAACCCGCAAGGCAGCGGAGCAGCGTCAGGTGCTGCGTTCCTATGGTTGCCGGTGACCCATATGGGTTCGTACGCCATTTGATTCGATTGGATTCTGGAGCCCATGTACCCCATGGTAGCTGCTTTTAGTCTAACTGCTATCCAAACAACCTTCCTGGCATGGTAGGACCTGCAGGGACATAAGTCCCAGCCTGTATAGCTTGCTGGGTCACTGCGGTATTCAAGCCCGACCACCACGGCAAGGTAGCAGTTATCGGCCGGGAGCAATTAGTGTGAGGGTGATCGACAAACAGTCTTGCATTTCTCATTATTAGTAATAACAACAAGGTGAATCTCTTGGTGATTACTCTGATGCCATAACTCTTTCAGTCGATAGACCACCAGACGAATAATATGGAGGCTTCCGTTTCAAATCTGGCAGCTACTCATATTTTTACTTAAAATTAATAATCGTTTAACTACATAAAACCCACCTACAACAGTAACATTACTTCAGATGTTCCTATCACAATACTTTAAATAACTAACATAAAAAACGTTTCACGGGAACTAACCGTTTTCATAGTTGAGGAAACAATATCGGCGTTTAAATTGGCATCGAACAAGTGGACTTTATGGTATTCTCCTACTATCTGACCATCTGAATTGATGATTATATGAGCATTATGGAGATGATCGTCATTTTCACCAGTCTAGATATAGTTATGAAATCGAAGTAGGAAAACACATCAATATATCAAATATTTCTTTTAAAAAATTAGTACAAAAATAAGTGAAGTAGGCAAACCATATAATGAATACAATACAATAACAATCAGATAAAACATATTAGCGAATGGCCAATCTCAGTTTTATATGGGTATAATGGCCATTTATTCCAAAAATAGTCCTTTATGTAGAAGTGTAACAAGGAGTAAGTACAACTGCAATAAAAGAATTCTAGTAATTCAGAATTTTACTCACACAACCTTATCTGGAAAGAGAATAAACCTCCCACAAATCGGAATATCAAGAAAAACAAAGTTGAAGAAAGTAGTCAAGCCGGTGAAATAGCTTCGACTGACTTCGTGTGACATCAAACTTCATAGTGTGAAAGAAAATACAAGGAATGTGTTGAAATAAAGATGGGAAAAAATAAGTTAGAACTCAATGAAGACTTGTGACCTCTGGAGGATAACAAAAGACGCATATTTAGCATGGATCTCACAGATTTATGTGATACTAATTAATTCAGATCACCTTAGAGTTTGTTCAGAATAACGCTAAGCAGTATGATAGTAAATACTGGACCGACAAACAAACATACAACAGCAGAAATGAGTCAGCACATATAACCACGATTCAAACAACATAAAAGGAAATAAATTCGACACACTCAAGATATCAAACTAGACCAAAGGCTTTGTTGACCGAATTAACTTTCACTGATATCTAATATTCCCTCTCCCTCCAAGACATCTCCGAGGCCGTCGCAAAAAGATATTTAAACTGTGGAATTCAGATCCTAACACACAGTGGTCAACAACCGAGATTCTCTCCTAGAACTAGTGTTATTCGCTTTCTTGGTGAAGGCTTTCAATGAGAAGCTGCATATCCAAAGAGATTTACACTGAAAGGTTTAATGCAGGCTTGCTCAAAACATAATATACTTTATATCTACAGACTGATTGAGCGCCATATCCGGAAGTTAAGTAATTCGTGAAGTAGGTGCTACTTGTGTATAGTTCAAAAGCTCCTAAAAGTCATTGTGATTTTCGACTAAGGTGTATTCTGCATAAACACCACATCATATGATGTGTCATAAAACAATGAAGTTCAGGAGAATCATCAAAATAGCATCATTCAGTACTTGATATTCATAAACATTGATTCCTACAGTCACCTTACATGTTTTGACTTCGAACTAAATTCACTACACACACAGTTTATTGAAGGCTAAAATGTTTGCAGTTATAAATGCAAACTCAGATCCTGTTTATACCAAATTCCACTGTTATGAAACCTCCAAAATTTGAAAGTTTAAACAAACTGCTTACCTTGATGTGCGCACCACCTAAGCTAATCCAAAGACCCTCTCGAGTAGCTAAAGAGCGGTAATTCGTTATCAATGGTCCGTCCAACACCTCTGCTAAACTAAGCGTCTCGTTAACGGAGCTTCCAACGAAGTCAAAACACTCGGGCAAGAAAACCATCTGAATTGCTATTTATTATTAAAGTTTTAGATTGAAGGACTACCTTGACACCAGATGTTTTAGCCTCACTAATATATTTAGCGGCTTGCTCAAAATTCTGTAACTTATTTGACGTCGACTGCATTTGGATTAAACCAATTTTTGTGGCCATCTTTCGTACGAAAGGTAATGTTGACGAGGAGACTAGATAACCAATATTTAACAGCTTCAGGTGACTGAAGCGCATGTAACGTAATTTGCGCTTTGATGTCCAATATCCAATATTGGTTTTACGAGCTAGTATAATTCAATTTTATTTCTTCGTGCTCGCCTCTTGATTGTGAGATAGAGGTTCCTGGTCTTCGGTAAACTTCTGAGTAGTTCGTCCCGCCACTCGACTGTCGTAGCTTTGGTTGACTCTAAAAGGAGTTGTGCTGGGATTAATTAAATGTGGTTTGTAGTATGAGGTGTGTTAAGACTGTTACTACTGTGAATGGAGTTGATCCTTTCACCATTTAGTCCTACGGTATCATCGTCAAAAGAAAAGAGATAATAACTTATATATGTGTTGATTTCTTGATATCCTCTTCCCAGTCATATGGAACAGTCCCCCATCTTTAATACATTCACATTCTTTTCGATGGTTTTTTTCAAATGCAGTGAGCAAACTGATGTTAACGTATTTTGTAGAGTATCTATTTTGTTCTAGGATGACATTAAGATTCAGATTCGTTGATTGAGGATAGAGTGCTTGAGGCCTCTGTTAATCCATTTCTAGTTAGTTTCTGTGCTTGTCCGAATCCTTCTTGAAAGAGTCAATTGAGGTCACTGACACCACTTCTTCCGAGAGTTGGATCCTGGAGATTATAACTCGGTGCGAGAACCAATACTCCACAATGATATAGTTTCTCCTTGGCTTTTGAACTCGACTGATATGTCCTGATGGGATGGAAAAAAGAGAAAAAGATCAGGTCTACAGTCATTATTTAAAATTTACAACGTGCAGAGCCCCCATATTAAGTCTAACTGTGTGCTTATAAAACTAATTCATGTAAGAATGTTATACTCTTACAGAAAATAATTTTACATACTCTTGTGGAACTTTTGCCACTGTTTCGTTGAACATTGCTTTTCGTATGTTACACGCTTATGCACATTTTGCAATCACCTCGCGCTTTTTGAAATTTGATTTCGCTGACTATACATCTTTTCAAGTTTTCACTTTTTCTTCTTAATACAGCGTTGGCACATAGTTGAATATGAAAACGTGGATTTACTATAGTATCATAGGCGGAATCATAATAAGTACACCAGGAAAGTTGTAACTGGATCCCCTCTCTGCTACGGTGTGTGAGTCCCCTTTAAGACAAGAACTAGCTGCATAGATACGATTTTCCAGTCTGAACTTCACCAGAGATGTATTTAAGGAATTGAACACATCTCTGGGGATTCTAGTCAACGCTGTGTGAATTGCCTATGACGACAGGAAACTACGTTCATCCAGCACTTCACAATGTGCGTGACGCCTAAAATCCAAATGAATCTGAACTTATGTGTATGTTATTCCCTCTAGTTCTTAGGAGATGACGCTTGCGTGTTCTATGCACATGGTTTCACATTTCTCTACGCTGATCGGTCGAATCTTTTCGTTAAACCACCTTGACAATTTGTTGAGGTAAGCTTGGGACTTGAGCGTATCACTGTAGACCTTCAGTTCTGTTCAAATGATCTACGTACAAGGCCACTGGAGAATCCGTGATCATATATAACTCGTTGATTGGCATATGGGATAGGCCCAAGTACAATACCGCTTGGTGCTCTATTACTTACTGTTGTCCAGGAGGAAAATTCTGAGTTGATCCTGACACCCCGTCTCCTCCCTATGAGGAGTTCCCAATTTAGTTTAGTAAGCTTCCCTTGACTCCAAGGATTTCCAACTTCGTGAGTATGTTTTTGTGGGGCACTTGATCGAAGACTTTGCTGAAGTCTATGAAGATGACGTCGACAGGTTTTCTGTTGCCCCTTGACTTGACGTAGCTTTCTCTTGACGATAGAAGATTTGATAGGTATGAGAGGTTTCCTCGGAAGCTATGCTGCGCTGGACAACAAGTTGTTGTTTCCTAGATACGCTGTGATAGCCTTTTCGATGACTCTTTCCAGCAGCTTCATTAAGGTGCCGGTGAGACTAGTAGGCCTGCGGTTTGCAGGGATTAGTCTCCATTTGTGGGACCTATAGAACCATATCTTCTTTGTGATTTGTAATTTCTTTCTTCCCTAATAAATGATGAATGTCTTTCTGTGTGTTTGAGCGTATTTCTCCCGTTTCACTTTCACATCATAAAAATATACGTTCAAAACCAACAGCTGTCTTCTATCACTATACACTATGTCGGTCGGTAATTTCGCATTCGCTTTTTTATATTAGGGAGTTATTAAATTGATGATACCAAAGAGTTCACAATAAGCCATTTATTTTGGTGTCGTTCACCATAACTTGTGTTTTTTAGGTTTTGTCTGCCTATATTTTAACGTATTTGATTGCTTATATTAGTACGTGCGTTTTATTTACTTTTTCACTGCTATATCTGACTTACTGATCGTGGAGGCCGACTCAAAAACCTTATTTCTTCTGAGTCAGGTACTCTAGTAAACCCTAAAACTAGCATGCATGAATTTGATAGATATGATCCAGTCCTATGGTTCGCTCAGTTAGAGCACTACTTCGACCGACATAAGATTAATTCTGAGAGCTCCAGGTATAGGGACGTATGTTCTTAACTACCTTGTCCCGCTAGCGAAAAGGTGCGGGAACCTATATTTCATTCCCCAATAGACCAACCATAAACTGTACTTAACGGCGAATGGGTTAATCGCCTTTCATGTCTAAATACCTACGCATACAACTATCATTTCTGAGGGAGACCATGAGGGATAGACCCCCATCACAGTTCCAGCGCCACTTGCAACACCTAGTGGTAGACGAAACACTTGGGGAGGATGTGCTAAAGCAAGGCTGGATATAAGCACTTCCGGAATATATGCAGCATGCACTAGATGCTCAGGATCCCTACTCCTCTCTTGAGGAGTTGGCGCCCACTGCGGACCGAATAATAGAGGGGAGACGCCTCAGTGAATGGCAGGTGAATTATGAGAGTAGGCATGATTACCCAGTAATCTCAGAAATCGTGGTCAACTTCAGATCACTAACGCAAACACCAGCACAATTAACACAGAGTTGTCGAGCTAGATCCCCTAGCAGAAAACGCTTCAGGTCACGAAGCAGATCCAGGCCAGTCAGATGAACATGAAGATTCTGTTGGTATCACCAGAGGTTTGGTGCACAATCAAATGAATGCACACAACTTTGCACCTGGCCTAAATCCGGTTAGGGACTGCTGAAAAAGAGGGCCGGGACAGTCGCTCATTCTACGTCAAGGATGAAAACTCTGGCATGGGCTTCTTGGTTAATACGGGAGCTGCACTCATCATCATGCCGAAAGCAAAGGCAGAGCCAGGACGAAAAATGTCCACCATCACGTGAAAGCAGACCTCGAATCATAAGGAGACAGCAAACTGAGGCTTTAATACGTCCCCAAGCCTAAGTGACACTAGAGTGATGCGGTACTGGGAATAACAGTTTGTGTCATTCAAGTGTCCTACCTGAATCCGTGGAAAAAACGACAACAGGTCGGTTCAATTGGAATTGGCCAGTTATTCCCAACATTGAGTCCCCTACCAGTAGACAGCTTCACGTCAACTATCCCACAACACAGTGAGGTTGCTAGACTCACTGTCAGCTGCCTATATAGCAATGTGAGAGGACTGAGAGGAAAAGTAGGCGAACTCAGAAATCTCCAGTCACACCTGCACCTTAAAATAATCATTCTCACGGAAAACTGGCTAACCTCCACTATCTCTGACAACGAAATCAGTATAGGTGATATGGTTCTGGTCAGGAGAGACAGCGATAATAAGGAAGGAGGGGGGTTGCTATACACTTTGGCAGGCAACTTAAATGTGTACACGCAACGGACCCACCACTTATTGAACTCCCAGACTCCTTGGGGTGTCATTTCACCAGCAGATCACAACCAGCACCATCACAGGGATACGGGACTTGGGCTATGACCAAATCACCATAGCTGGAGATTTCAGTGCCCCATCACTGAACCTTGGCTCGGGGTATGCTAAGGGAAAATTCAGCCGAAATCTACTGCAAACCATTCGAAATACAGGACTGACTGAGAATGTTGGGGACGACACTAGGTGGTGCCTTAGTGGAAAGTCATCGAAACTAGATTACATTCTAACTAGTTACCAACTACTCGTCGTAAAGGTCCAGATCATGACTCCTCTAGGAAGTAGTGACCATGCAGTCATTGGATTCGATCTTGTTCTCCGTGAGCACTTGCAGTAGGACGTTACGCGACCATGTCTGTGCTATAGCAAGGCGGATTATGCTGAAATGCGGAGGCTTTTGTCCGATTGGCCCTTAGCTTGGGATGAGTTATCTGTAGACGAACACTGGGAAGTGGTAAAAGAGATTATTCATACAGCAATCTCGGATACCATCCTTTTAGTCACAACACAGACCAAAAGGAAGTCATCATAGCTGAAGAAAGGTACGCAACGTATTCTGCAAGCAAAGCGGAAGTGGTTTACGTGGCGCGTATCCAAGAGTCAGACCGACCACGACGCATACCTTGAACTCAGGAACCGGTGTAACGTGAGAGTCAGGAGTGACAGGGGGTTATTTCAGTCTAACCTTGCTAAAAACTCCTAGCAAACCCCAAAGACTTGCACCGATTCATGTCGGAAAGAAAACCAACCAACCAGGGGGCATGCGCCTTAGTAGGCCCAAACGGTCAATATCTCACTGGTCTGGAGATGGCTGAAACATTCACTTTAGCCGTCGCCAAACAGCTAAACAGCAATGTGGGTATTACCGGTACTGACCAAAATGGCAGCACGACTGTTTCACCGGAGGAAGACCTAGTGGCTACTCCCCAAATGAACCCGGCAATAGTACTAGGGAAGCTACAGAGACTTACACCTGGGAAGCTCCCAGGTTGTGACGACATCAGGCCATCTGTTCTGAAACAGTGCGCCGAAGCTCTCTGTAGGCCCTTATGTGACTTGCTCAAACACTTAATGGATTCGGGGAAACGCACAAGGGAGTGGAAAAGAGCCATCCTTTCTCTGATCTTCAAAGGTGGGGATAGGCAAAATGCCACTAGTTATAGACCAGTAGCCCTACTCCCAGTGGAATCCAAAGTACTGGAAAGTATTATTGATGATCACATCAGGGAGCAACTCGGTAGGACTAATAGACTCCATGAAGCTCAACATGGTTTTAGGAAAGACAGATCCTGTGTAAAAAACCTACCATCAGCTTGGCACGATTGGACATCATGCTGGGATATGAATGTTCCAGTCCATGTTGCCTTCCTAGACTTTGGGAGAGCATTTGACGCAGTTCACCATGACCTTCTCCAACACAAAATAAGTCAGGCAAGTATAGGTGAGCCACTTGTGCCATGGTTGAAGGACTACCTATCTGAAATGCAGTTTTGCACTAAGGTCAATCGAGTCCGAACATCTTGGCACTGCTCGTCATCAGGAGTGTAGAAGGGTTCTATCCTTGGACCACTGATGTTTTTGATTTTCATGAATAATCTACCATGCCGTCTAAGCTGCCCGACTCTTCTATACGCTGACGACGTAAAGATATGGAAGGCGATAAAGTGTCCGGAGGACTCAGATATGCTGTAGGCAGATCTAAATCTTGTGGAAGACTGGGCAGTGGCCAGTCCTATGACTTTCAACCTGAAAAAGTGCAAAGTAGTGAAATTATGCACCTGTAGGCTGCAGAACGCAAGTTACACCCTGTGCAACGAAAGCGCGAATAAGGTTTAATTCTAACGAAAAAAGTGGACACAAGCGTAAATTACATGGGGGACGTAGTGAGGGCAGAAGCGGTCATACACTTTACACATAGACAGTTAGGTGCACTCACTCCTGAGCTCTTTCTAAGGTTGCACAAAACATACGTCAGACCACACCTTGAAGTGCATAATATCATTGCAACCCCACTGCTTAGAAGAGACGCCAACCTCTTAGAAAGAGTCCAAAGACGGGCGACAAAAGGAGTGGTTGGTCTCTGAAATAAACCATATGATGAAAGGCTAAAGAAATCAGGCCTATCCACACTTAGCTACCGTAGGCTTAGGGGGGATTTAATTACTACCTACAAGATAACCAATGACCAGAATCACCCAAACAAAGGTGTTCTGCCATTGAATAGGTATAGGCTTCCTCGTAGAAATCCCAGAAGGATAGTTCACCAGAGGGCAAAGACCCGAATGCGCTCCCACTTCTTTTCACTGTGGGTTTGCCGTCCCTGGAACTTCTTACCGGCAGATGCAGCTATGGCACCGTCTGTGGACGCTTTCAAGCGAAGGCTGACAACCATGCAGCGACACAAGGACTGCATCTAAATGGCCTATACCCTTAAAATCCCATACACCATTCAGGGGTAGACAACTAAGTTCGTCGTTTTACTTCTTTATATTCTCTCCCATCTTACTCTCCTGACAACTTTAACTACACTTATTATAATTATTACTATTTTCTTTTGACGACGATACCGTAGGACTAAATGGTGAAAGGATCAACTCCATTCACAGTAGTAACAGTCTTAACACACCTCATACTACAAACCACATTTAATTAATCCCAGCACAACTCCTTTTAGAGCCAACCAAAGCTACGACAGTCGAGTGGCGGGACGAACTACTCAGAAGTTTACCGAAGACCAGGAACCTCTATCTCACAATCAAGAGGCGAGCACGAAGAAATAAAATTGAATTATACTAGCTCGTAAAACCGATAATGAATATTGGAACCATAATCTAACTCGAACCAGCCGTAATACCTCCCTTATCATGTTGACCTGACTCTATCTTGTCCTTAGCCTAAACGTCAAACTAATCCTTCCTACACCTAACCTAAGTCCTAAAATGCATCATTTCGAGTATCACAGCACCCCATTTAGCATAATTTATTGGCAATTATAATGCAATTTTCCTGGTTTCACTAGTTGACTGGGTGTCCCAAGGTCACCTGGGCTGTCGAACTCTTTTGGTACATTTTGGTGCTGAAATCCTAGTTTTATCGCAACAATGAAAACGCTAATGAAAGGATCAAGGTGCAGGAACTAGATATAGAGAATCACAAACTCTGTTGGAAGTCGGCATTCAAACGCGCCACTGACAAATTTTGACGTTCCGGTAAGCGGTAATTTATATTTAGTCCTTACGCAAGCACCAGTATTTGATGTTCAGTCATTGCTTGCGTAGAAGAAGAGTAAACCTGAAAAATTTCAATATTTAATGTTGCTTGGCTTCAGATTCTTGAAATCACTAGGGAAATTTGAAATTAATTGTTGTTCCAAGCCATTTCTTGTTTTGTACAAAACCATAACGTTTTAGTTTCATTTCTTTCAAGCGGCAACACTTTGAATTGCATAAGGCTGCATTATCTGAGGCATGTTTGGGTTTGTCAACCAATGATAGCGGGAGACACATGTCATTCCGTTCTGTTGAAAGTTTGTAATGCTGATTAGTCCCCATTGTTATGTTGCTAATATTTGTGCGATATGCCATATAATCGTTTGTTTTGAAGCTAGATAGTTTGAGGTCTAGAATATGTATAGTTTTGTTTTGGCCTGCTATAGTTTAGAGTCACCAGATTTTCCTGGTAGCTTTTGGTTATTTTATTATTTTTATTGCCTGATTACTGAAAAGCCTAATGTCAATCACTGCAGTACCACAGTCTAAACATTTGCTACACTTTTACCTACTAATTTAGTATACTTCTCACTACCATAGTTATGACGACAAATGGTAGGATTAATAACAAATCTATCCACTAGAGCCGCTATAAGGGGGATGCAGTGTAGTAGCAGTTCAACGATTGATATTGGATCCTTCTACATAACTGTATGAAATAATGCTCATCATGTTACCGTCCTGACTGATGAAGAAAATCAGTGATAATGACCACATATATGTGTTAGTGCGACCGACAGTAATCCACACCATATAAGAGCTGCTTAGCTTACACCTCCCCCCTCAAGGTTTCTGCTGGAAGATTTGCAACTTCCTAAGAAATAGGTGTGTGGATTATTTGGACTAGCTGGTAACTTCTTTAAGATTGGTGATAAGGAATGATTGACTGGATAGACCATGTATGAAGTTAGCGTTTTGTTTTAGCAGCTCTTATTATTTGTTGCGTCCGAAGCCATTTGGGATTTTTCTGGTATCAGGATATGAACGACACCAAAGGAATTCGGATTTTAGTAATATTCATGGCATATTATTAGCCATCTAATGAGTTGAGCACATAAGGACCTAACACTTGCCTGTTTCTGCGTTTATTTTAGCGCAGGTACGTTAATACAGTCTGACGCATGAATCGGGTTTCAAACAGGTACTGTGAAATTAATAGCAATCTCCAGTTGGTTTTCTCGACCGATGATATGTAAAAATATGATACGTTTATCGACTTTCAATAGTTTTCATTTATGAAGTCATTACTTATCAGGAAAAGTGGTTTTCTGCACGAAGTTGCAAGAGAAAGTCATCACTGTCGGTTCTTTAGGATGTTACTTTTTAATCTTTTATGGATTCTTATTCGATTGGTCGAGCTTTTTTACTAAAGCATTAAAATTACTTACTAGTGTAACTGCATCTAAATGTTTTGACTTTTGTAACAAAATTAGTAACTGGCAAAACACCTTACTCGATTGGCTTGAAGTCAGTATATAGATGGAATATATATATATATATACCTTCGTCTGTGTATTTATTGATAACCCGAAATACAGGAATTCTGTTTGATGAGTCCTGTTGTCGGATCTCACATAGGATCTTGATATTGGGGCCCCTAATGTTTAGTCGGCAGCATATTTTTAAGGGTTATTAAAGATAAGTTAACGATAAAGAGAAGAAATGAGAATCAGACGGTGACTAGGCAAATTTTTCTTGCTATAAGGGCAATTTTTCTCATCTGGCCATACTGAATTACTTGGAGATAGTTTTGAGGTCGTTTCAGAGCACTGCAAACAGCTATCTAAGGTCGGCCAAATATGATCCTAACAGTATTAGATTTTAATTGAATTTTGGATTCCACTGCTAGTCACCATCCACCAATTAAATGCTAATTAAATGCCCAGACATCATCGAAGCATCTGCTCAAGAAGCCGACATGTCAACCTGAGATTGAGCACTTCAGTCCAATCAATCGACGGGAAAATCTAAAATTCAATTAAATCAATATGACCCGTTGCACAAGAGGTGGCTCTCGTGGTCCAAGTGGTCTAGTGGATAACGCTTTGGCGTTTGAAACTGGGCACTGGGTTTAAGCCTCGGTGGGAACATCATCACTCACTGAGAAATGCAGGTACATCCAGATGACGAGTCCCAAATAGGACGAAATGCGCATCCTGGATTCCACTGCTAGTCACCATCCACCAATTAAAAGTACTAAATTGTATTTGATTCTGTGCCTGCTACAGTGATGAGAAACAGTAGAGTAGAGCATATAATTTCGAAATTAAGCTTCTGTAATCCTTTCAAAAATTTAAAGGCGGAAAGCAGATAGTCAATAGTTTTAGATAAATACCTTACTGCCTGCAGAATCACTCCAACCACTAGTAAGACTACAAACGCAAATCTTCAATCAAAGTGTAATCTACCTATATCATAATTGTTGCACATACCTTCGATAGCATCAAACCAACGTTTTTTAGAGCTTCACAGAACAGTCGTTCTACTCAGCATAGTTCGTCAGGCCACTGAGATATGTATCCTGATCGCTACGTCAGGTTAACGTCTTGGGATCAAACTCTGCTTCGATGTGGTTGTGTTTTGCGAGTTGATTATTAACACAAGCCCCTGCATATTTCGTTCGGTCCATAACGCAGTACCTGAATAAGGCCAGTAATTAGGTAACTCAGTTCAATTTGTAATTAGTGTATTAGGAATACAGTATATCAGATTCAGTGCTCTCTCGTTTTTAAAAATTAAATAATTTCCGTCAAAATAATTTAAAACATTTTTCTTGTTTTAGCTGGCTTTCTATCTTATAAAATGAGTGCTGCAATAGATGTTTTAGACATACTCGACTTCGGTGAAACAAGTCCTAAGAAATGCGTGTTGGATAAGGAAGCTCTACTTTCACGAACAGATAAGGTAACTTGATCTCAATTTTTTGTTTCTCTCTCACACACACACAAAATATATAGAGGAAAAATTCTCGTCCTAATCCCCAACCAAAACGACCAGATCATGTTCCACGTGAAGTTTGGGGCTTACAAAGTACTCTTAACATCAAGTAAGTTTTTAAAAATTCTCATAGTTGGAAAGCTGTTTTAGTTACTTTTTGGTATGATTAGTGGTTTCATTGGTCGTATAGTTCCAAGTATGAAAAGTGTTCAAAAGGTAGCTTGTAATGCAAAACTGTCGAGTAAGTATGTGAAAAAGATAGACCTAGCATAAATTTATATCATCCTAAGTTGCGACGCTTCACATAAGCACACTCAGAATAAAGTCAGCAAGAAGAGAAGTACAAAGCAAAGTAACGCTAAAAGTCATAAAGTGTCTTAAGATAAATGGAATACAAATTGAAGAGTAATTATTATTATTATCATTGTTTCCTTTAATTCCTAGAGGAACATAGGGCTTCAGTCGTGCGTCTCCATTGCGTTCGGTTCTCTGCTAGAGTTTTCACCTGGCTCCAAGTCTGCCCACACGTTTTCATCTCCTCTTCACATGACCTCCTCCAAGTCATCCTTGGACGACCAACTCGCCGCTTCCCTTTCGGGTTCCACTCGAGGGCTTGTCTAGTGATGTCACTTGATGGTTTCCTTAGAGTATGGCCAATCCATCTCCATTTCTTCCTGCTTATTTGTTTCACAATCGGTTTCTGGTTGGTTCGCTCATTGCCAGAGATCTCTGTTGCTGATCTTTTCTGGCCATCTGATCTTGAGTATTGAGCGAAGACAACTGTTAATGAAGGTCTGTAGTTTGTTTGAGGTGTTCTTTATGACGCGCCAAGTCTCTGATCCGTATAGTAGTAGCACTGACTTCACATTGGAGTTGAAAATCCGGATCTTATTTTTGATGCTGAGTGCTGTTGACCTCCACACAGACTTGAGAGTAGTGAAAGCTTGTCTTGCTTTTCCGATTCTTGCTTTGATATCCTCGTCAGTTCCGCCTGTAGTTGAGACGATGTTTCCCAGGTAGGTAAAGAAGGTTGTTTCTTTCAGGTTCCTTCCATTTATGCTGATTGTTGTCTGTTGTTGTTGTTGCTGTTGGTGGTGTTGGCCAGGAATCTTCATCACCTCTGTTTTCTCTATGTTCACCTGAAGTCCTATCTTTGATGCTTCTTCTGCCAACTTGTTGCTTTTCATTTGCATATCTTCCAGTTTGTGGGGAATCAGACATATATCATCGGCGAAGTCCAGATCCTCCAAGTTTTTTGTGTGAGTCCATTTTATGCCTGTTTCCTCATTGCCCGCTGTTTGTCGCATTATCCAATCTACTGCAATCAGGAAAATCATTGGCGATAGTAGGCAGCCTTGTCTTACTCCTGTCCTCACTTCGAAGGATTCCGTAAGTTTCCTGTTGTGGATTACTTGGCATGCAGCATTGTCATACAAAGTCGATGAAGTTGAGATAGAGAGGTGACTGCCATTCCAAACTTTGTTCAATGAAGAGTAATATATATATATATATATATATATATGTAAAGAGAGAGGGCTTGGGACTGGCGCTACAGTATTTAGTTGTCAGAAAGTAACTAATCTCACGAAAAAGCTTTTACCGAGTTCTGTTGGCGACGATGTTTCTATGAGTACTTCAAAGTTCCGGTTACACTTTGGCCTCATAAGTTATGTAACTCGTTGAGCATACTTTTCTTCCTACATATTACGATAACTATTCATTCATTTCGATACATACAGGGTTCCATATTGATACATCCTTTTTTATGAATCCAAATGCTGCTGCGCTTCACCTAAGTTAATGAACGGTTAGACAGTATCGTCATCTTTTTTCTCTGTTTTCTAAACAGTTTTGTGTAGTAACTAGGCTACGAACGATACTTATCGTGCAAATACTCATGTGATACGTTTCGATATACGGGTGTAATAATTTTTGTCTGTCCTTCATACTTATTGTTTATTCCATTTTTTTTCACTGTCTTAGTGATCTTCCTCCGATTATGCCAGCTGATAATACACCACTTTACAAACAACCTAAAGCTGTTATTGGCGTCGGAAAAGTTGGTCCATGGCATTGGACACCTTTTACAAATTCTGCTAGACAGGTTCGTCTCTCTGTTTTCTTTACATTGCATTGCATTGGATTACATTTGATGATTGTAGATGTGTTAGTTATTTAGGTTAGGTGGGTAAGACTATCGGTTATCTGTGTATTCAGTCCTTCAACCCTTTTATGCATACCTAATGTTTGGTTTAGCAAGGTAGTTTTCAGACCAAACACCCACTATCGGTTGACATAAATGGCTCTTGATGAGTGAGTGAGTTCCATTTCCACACCACCTACAAAGACAGTATTGTCAGCTCCTATAAACACACAGGTGTGTGGTTCATTACCAAGCATTTATAAATCAAGCGACTGAGCAACATTTCACTTACCTTATTCTTAGTTTAAATAATCTCATGCATTGCGGATTTTAAGGTGATGAGATTCAATTGTGGAACAGATCAATGAAGTTCTGTACTGTTGGTCTGGAATACACAAAGGAGTGTGTAGGTTTCTCGACTAAAGACTGCAAGATACTCGAAATAGATGATTTGTGACTCATCTTAACTGTAATGTCATATGTTCATCGCCATTTCTTTTGTTTTATGGCAACTTTTGGTTTCTAACCTGACTATTTGGTTTCGCGTCGGTGGTTCAGGGGTAAAATGTTCGCCAACCACGCGCGTAGTTGGTTTTCGATTCGGACCCAACGCATTACTTAACCGCCTGGCACCGAATCATGCTCTTGTCCACGCCAAGCAAAATACTAATTCGTGTCATCCTGGATAGAATAAAAGAGGCACTGGATGCTGAACTCCACCCCAAACAAGTTAGATTCGGGAAAGGCAAATCATATGCTGATCAAATTGCAACTCTACGCATCGTCATCACCAAACAAAGCATAGAATGGCAGTCAAACCTCTACCTCAAATTCCTTCATGGACTTTAAAAAGGCCTTCGACAGCGTTGACTGAGAAGTAATTTGGAAACTACTTCAACACTACGGAGTATCCAATACCTTTATAAACCTCATTCAACAGCTATGTCATAATACCATCTGTCAAGTGATTCATAACAGCATGCTCGGCAAAGCCTTTGAAGTGAATGCAAGAGTAAGAAAAGGCTGCCTATAATCACCGATAGTATTTCTGACTGGATTATGTGGAAGACTGTGCGTCAGGAAAGTGAAGACAGGAATACGTTGGACCGATACGAAGACTTAAAACATCTGAATTTCGCGTCGTCTTTTTCATCAAGTACTAAGCATTAGCAGATTTTAGAGCAATGATTTCACCCACTGGTCATAACTGCATAACTTTGGCGGAAAATGCCAATTTAGGAATGATCAAAGATATTGTTTTCAGCTGACTAGCAGTGTAGAATCAGCAGTGCATTATTTCGTTCTATTTGGGACTTGTCGGCTGGACATATCTTGCAGAGAACGAGCAATTGGCCTCAACAATAATCAATGGGAAATGCAAATTACCCCTAAAGCAAAATCAATTATCAAAGATAGTTAACTATAGAATTGATGGAGCCGATTTGTGCCTCAGGTGGATGATATTGGTGCCAGTGTTGGTGTTAGTATGCTCTGAGCTGGATAGACAACCGCTTCGGTATGTAGTCGGATCATAAATGTTCCATCTAGTGACTGATTTGTAGAGGAATTTTGTTAGCCGTACAATTTTAGGAATGAAGATGAATACTAACCGATGACAGGCATTGTGAGGAAGTCATGTTTCAAATTATAGATTCAAGTTCACAATTTGTTGATTGACATTTTAGCCTCATTTTTTTATTTTCTAATTTGTTAGTATGCTGATGAAGGTGTCACTTCATTTTGAAATCATTTATAGAACAATTCATATGATATATAGATATTGGAAGGCGGGAAGTGTAAAATTATAGAATTAATAGGCAAATAAAATAAAAATTAACGTTGAGTAAAATTGTGTGAAATTTGATAACATAGAATTTCACTTTGCGAAAAAAAAGTTGATTTAGAATGACAATTGGGATGAGTGAAATAATACCAGGGACAATTCAAAGTGAGAATAGTAATAGTAATAGTTGGCGTAATAAAGGAAGAGTATACAAATTGAATAAACAAAACGAAAATAAGTAGAGCCAAAATATGATTAGGGATTATCATATTTTAGCATAGAGGGATTATTGATCTAGCTTTTCTGTTTCTATGGCCAAAGCTTCAGCAATGCAACAGATGAGTCGATTACGTAATGATTTGGGCAAATTATTTTTCGCCTTGTAGATAACTTTAAAGGCTGATACTGTAGTGATATAGGGTGGTCAGTATCGACCAGATGTTCAGTGATTGCTCTCCTTATAGCTCCACTTACACCTCTTCATAACCACCATGCAGGATAGTGTTCTTGCACCCTCTTGGACAAAACCTGAGTCGAACGACCGATAAACCTAGCTCTACACGAGCAGGTAAATTGATAAACGCACATAGAGTAGGTCAACTGCTGGGTCTTGTCCTTCAGGTTATTGAACAGTAATGGTCGACTAGGAAGCGCTATTCTCAACGATGCAACAGGGAATGTCTTTTCAGGATTTGAAATCCTTCTTCTAATGATGTTGTCTGTTGAGTCAGCTTTGAATTCCAAGCTCTCATGTACAGCATTTTTTTGGTTACGGACATCAAGTCACATTTCAATTTATGTGTGCTCTTGTCTATTAAAGAAGAGGCGGAAATCCATTTTCCATTAGGATATTTTTAGGAGATTTTGTGGTGGTGTGATACAGGCAATGTGTGCCAAAGGAATGTTATTCTCACAGGTTCCCACAGTTCAATTCGGCATTAACAACAGAATACGATATATCTATATGAACATTCTATTGATGTTAGCAGCATTGGCAACAGAATACTATGTATATTTGAACATTCTATTTCTTGTCGTTTGATGTAAACCGAAATCACACGCTATTGATTGGTTAACGAATATAAACTGTAGATATATAAACAGCGATTTGATTAATGAAAAATATACCTTGCTCTTGTAATTTAACTCTTCCTCAACAGCATCAGAACTACATCAATTGGTACTCTTCTTATTCTTACTTTGAATTGTCCCCGGTATTATTTCACTCGTCCCACTTGTCATTCCAATAGAATTTGCCTATTAATCCTATAATTATACACCCCCTTCCAACATCTATACATCTTATGAATTGTTCTATAATATGACATTAATTCATTTTGAATCACGATTTTAAGTTACTGTCATTTTTTGAACTAATTATCATGTTAGTGTTGCTTTGTTTTTTTGTTTTTTTCTTCTTTTAACTTCCGTTGTCAGGATAATCTAGTGTTATATCATTGGCGACGAGGTGGTTCTGAATCCGAGTCCAATAGCGATTATTATTTTGCCCGTTATAACAAGGTAGGTTGATTCGATTTTATCGCTTTACTATTCATTGAATAATGTATAGGTTCAGCGATAGGGCGCTGGCCAACCACCTATGTGTCCGCGCACTCTTAGACCTCGCGCTAAGCCGGTAGTAAGGCCCCGTAAAGAGGGAAGGTTGGGGCTGAAAATGAAACCACTGCTAGTGGGACTTCAAAGCTCTAGCTTGAAGCCGTCCTATGTTCCACCACTCGGAACGTAAAGCAATAATGTATAGTCTCCTTTTGTCTTTGTTTATTTCGTCTGGATTCCGTATTTAATAATAATAATAATAATCTACTTTATTCCAAAAACGGTACCTATAATACAGAATGGAATTCTCAGCATTTGTCACAATATTTTGCATCTGATTTACTTGAAATATAAATAAAATTAAAAATTAAAACAAAATTAACCGGAGGAATTTTTCCACATTTACGATATAAAGTCAAAAATATTCGAAGTACGAATTGAGAATAATAATAATAACAGTGAGTTTGTTTCAAACAGTATTGTCGATTCAGTTTGGAAATTTTAGCATGTTATAGATTATTGAATGTAATGTTCTGTTGATACAGTATGGTGAGGGGAAATACAAAATTAACAGTTATAATACAGCTTAAAGGATGTTCACACTTATGAAAAATAAACAAATAAAAACAAAAAATTGAGAGGATTATAAATATAAGAAGCAGAATAACAATAAAGGTTGATGTTGTAAGGGTGGAGGAAATGGTTTATTTAGTAGTGCAAAGAAGGTTAGTTAGTTCATGCCTAACACTATTTTCATCACATAAAGTACGTGCCAAATATGGTATAGTGGAATTTTTATACTTAGACGTACGTGCATAAAGTCTTCTGAAAAGACTTCTTGTTTTACCTGAGGAGACACAAGGTTGGAGCTGCGAGTGCTGCTGTGGATGCTCACAGTCTGACAAAATTCCTTTAGCAAATTTGTTGCATGACATCAAGTGCCTATCAATGACCACGTCAACGATATGGCCCAATGGGATACCACTCGCCCTAGTGACCGACAGTCTTCAGAGTCCTACGAATTATGAGTTATGCCTGAGTGTTTTAACTTCTTAATGTAAAAAGTCAGACGAAATATTCTTTTAGAAATCGCTAAGACATGGGAAGACCAGGATTGGTCAGAAGAAAGAATTATTCCAAGATACTTAACTTCAGACTTGATTTCTATATCAATATCAATTTCATCTTAGAAATTAACAGCTTCATTTAACCTTCTTTTACATCGGAAACTGAAATTAACAGTCTGACATTTGGAAGGATTTAGTTTAAGACCCATTTGACGGAGACCATTTGCTAACTCCTGATAGAAAGCTGTTCATGTTAGTACAGTCTAGCTGGGAGTTAACAGACATGGAAATAGTTAGATCGTCGGCATACTTAACAAAGTTCACTCCGTCATCAGAGTGAGGCAAGTCATGCAAGAAGAAAGAAAACAGAAAAGGAGAAAGGACAGCGACTTGAGGGACAAGTTTATTTGATATACCCCACACACCACACAAAGAACACACACAATGATACAGTATTAATAACTGGATGTCGTTTCGGAATACCATTTATTGTCTTATAATCAGTATCAATGTATTCACGTTATTGATTTGATAAGTAACTTTAAACACAGTGTTATTTTTCTATTGTAATTTTCCATATATCTGGCAATGATGTGTTGCATCATTTCGTTGGCACGTGTTTAGTGTTGACCTAATGAAGAAAGATTCGGTGATCGAGGTCTCTCTCTCTCACTTTCTGTCTCCACCTAATTATATCACTTTTTAATGCTTTTACCCTATCCCCATCCTACTGCGTGTGATTACATATAAGTGGAGTGCATTGCAGTGATCGAGTTTCATCTCCAGATTACTTAATTTATCAGGGTTGCACATTGTAACTTTAGCTGAATTCCTTTATTCTGATATTCTCTTTTAACCCCGATCTACTTGTTTTACCTGTATATAGTTGACGTCACAGTCACTAAATTGTATCTAGTTGAGATGGTGAAGATATGTGTTACGCATGCCCTATCCATCACCTTCCTCGACAGCCAATTTAGCTGACATAAGATGAGGTTGGAAAAGAGCTAGTGGTGGTCAGACAAAAACACGGCTTCATCAGTCACTGAAATACATAACAGTTAGTTTAAGCTAGCCATCCGAATGCCTAGGGGGAGATGTACACCGCCAGTCTCCAATGACGACTGGAGACAATTAGTGATATGGCGCAAAATCCTCGTTGGTGCATTCATCACTCATATCCAGTAAAAGTCTATTTTGCTTCCATATCACTATTGTTTTTCTCTCACACTTGTGTTTATCATCTCTCTTCTGATGAATCTCTCTTTACTTCTCCTGTTGCTGTGTGCGGTACATGGGGAGAGTGGCAACTGGAACTGGTGCACATGTGTGCAAAGTTCTATGCTGAAACAAGTCAACCAGTCGAATGGTATCTGGTAAATTGTAGTATTTTCCCTAATTGATTCTATCGGGTCCTTAAAATGACAAAGTTGTTTGCATCTGAGTGATTTCGTTAATTTAAATATCACTCTGTCTAATTCCAGCCGTATTAAGAATCCTATGCCGGGCCTTCTTTTCATATGGTAGTGGTGGCTTTGAATTCCTTATTATTATTATCATCGTTATTTATCGCTACCACCACTCTCATTTTCCCTGAAGGTCTTTTGGCTTTGTTATTTATATCTCCTGACCTTATAATGTATGCATTTCACATACACGAACTCCCCTTTATAAATTTGGAAAGAGACAAAACAAAAATTAATGCCGAATAGCTTGGATCCATTTTATTTCTTTGGTTATCGTCAGCTGCGCATATATATCTATACATACTTTGATTGGACACTAGTTAGTAACTAGTGTAACGTTTCTAGTCCATTCTTCGGTTCAGACTGAATTTTGTCAGTAGTCGAGTTGGCAATGTGGCCACCATTCTAGGTGGCTCGCCATCACAGCGCACTTTGAATTATTGACATTAGATGGTTGGAAGCGATCGACATGAAGCCATCGACAAAAGTTTCTTGCTGGTTGGTACATTGCAAACTTGAATTCAGTCTGCACCAAAGAAAGAACTAGACACTAGTTGCTAACTGGTATCCAATACAGTCAGTCCTACAAGAGATCAATCGCGAGTCCAAATGGCTCAGTGGTACCGTCTTTGACTGCAGCATTGGTCGAGGTTGGTTCGAATATCAGAACGGACATGAGTTCCTTCAAAGTTACAGATACGCCTTGATACCTGTTGAGTGCCGACTAGCACGAAACTTAGGTCAAGCAAGCCTTCCTGCCGATTGCTTCTTCACGACAACAATCCTTATGGGAGGACTGACTCCTGATGCCAAATAAAATTTATTTTAAAATTGTATTACAACTTGTTTTATTGAGCTGTTGCAGGTTGTATGTAACTGACAATGACGACCAGCGAAATAAAATGAACCCGTGTTATTCTTCACGTATGTTTTTTCTGTGGTATTGAAACATAAATTCTTGACTAAAAGTCGTATCTTGACAGAGTTTGAGTTGGGTGATTTAAATTCTTCCAGGTAGTTATTAGAATTGGTTACAGGATTCCATCGTGAGCTGACATCAGTTATAGAACCATTGGAAAACCTAGAAGTACTGTCAGACAGCTGTTTCGTCGGCCCAGTTGGGGCTCTCCAGCAGTACTCACTCACTCCACTGCCAGGGTTCGGACCCAGGACGTTTCGGCTACTAGCCAAGCTAGCTTGTAGACCAATAATTCACTGGGATCTGAACCATGAATTGGCCCATGGATTCCCACTTCTGCCAATTCACGCAGGAGATAGCACAAATGGCACTAACCAATGTGTCATCGCTGGCGAGTATTTGTCCTCACACCCGACCGGTTGTATTAGGATGTAAGGGTTTCCTAGACATTCTAGCATTATCTAACCCACTATCCTGTTTTCGTTTTTTTATTTTGCAGTCTAACAGCCTAACTCACTCAACCTGTTTCTTTTCTAACTAAAAAGTGAACTGGATTGAGTCCTACTGCTGAGCTAATTAATAATAAGCGTGAAGAAATTTGGGATGTTTGTGATTTCAACACACAGTAAAAATAAATGTCATCCATACATATATATATCTCCGCTACAGCAACTTTAGAGCAGGATTAAAAGTTCTAAGAGCTTCACATTCCCAAAAATATAATCGATAAATATATCCTATGGAGTAAGATTTTATTGCATGGAGGATTTCATCATGAGCTGACATCAGTTAGAGAACCATTGGAAAACCAGCACTAGAGTACTGGACAGCTGTTTCGTCAGCCTAGTTTGGGACTCTTCATCAGTACGCACCCACACTGCGGAGTTCGAACCCAGGACCTTCTGGTTACAAGGTGAGCTAGTTCGTAGACCATTGAGCCACTGGGACCCGATCCAACTGCCAGTCCTTGAATTCTAACTTCTGCCAATTCACACACGACATAGCGCTATCACTTCGCAATGTCTTCTTCGATGATTTTCTGCCTCATCTTCAACCTGCTGTACCCTACTGGTCACGGCTTCCCACTAGAACCCCAGGTTAACTGCCTGAATAGGGCCAGTCACTAGTGAGCATCAGATTTTGTTCAATGAGTATACTTTAACTTAAAGACATTTGTTTCATTAATTTTTCTCTCATTGTTTTTTCTTTTCTTGTGGTAATTAAGCATGTCACTGTACCAGAATATACACCAGAAGAATATGAAACAATGCTGAAAGATTCAAAATGGAGTGAAGAACGTACAGCACATTTAATGGAATTAGCTAAACGCTTCGATTTACGCTTTATTCATATGCGTGATCGATGGGATTGTGAACAATTTCCTGGACGTCCGTCTATTGAAGATCTTAAAGAAAGATACTATGGAATATTAACTCAGTTAGATAAAGTAAATAAATGTTTCATTGATTTATTGTTATTGTTATTGTTATTGTTGTTATTGTCCCCTTGGGTTCTGAGTGTCTCCACTTTGTCCCTATTCTCTGAGGTCCTCTTTAACTGGTCCCACAATTGCTCATAATTTTTCATCTGCTCCATGTCACACCCTGGGACCAACGTCTCACTCGTCGTTTCGGATTTGAGTTCCACTCGAGTGATGACCTGGATTGAGCGCGATTTCACCCAACGGTCTCCTCTTCTACATACTTGTTGAGCAATAGGTTCTCGCCTGTTGGTTTGTTCATTGTCAGAGTTTCTTGTTCGCCGCTAATCCTTTCTGGTCGGCCAGCCAGTCAGCCATTTGATCTTCAATATGGAGCCAGAAAATGGGGTAGTTGTTGGTAATAGTCTGTAGTGGCCTGTTGGAAATGCTTTTTTTGATGCACTGGTCAAGTTTCTGACGCATACAGAACGTCTGGCTTCATTGATTTAGCAAAAATAAAACAAAGAATTTTCAACATTTGCTGTTGTTGTTGTTTTGGCGTTGAAATTTCCAGTGAAGTTTTGAGCAGGTATCAGAAAAACCTAGTGAAACAATCTTTGTTTTCATTTTGCAAATGTGCTATCTAAAATATCAAATGAATGCATATACTACTTTGATTGGATACTAGTTAACTGGTGTCATGTGCCTGGTCCCATTGTTTGGTGCAAACTTTGACTACTGATAGAATTCAGTCTGCAGGAGGTCAACCACGAGCCCGAATGGGGCTTAGTGTTAACGTCTCTGAAAGACTGAAGCCACTGGATGGTGACGCGGATTCGAATCTCAGAAGGAAAATGAGTTCCTTCAAGACGGTTGCAGATATACGCCTTACTGACGACTGACTGTTGAGTGTCAAAAAGCACGAAATCTTGGTCGGGGGCATCCTGTCGAATCGCTTCCAACCACCTAATTTAATTGTTTGATTTGATTGTTTAATATGAGTAGAGAGCATGCTAGCCAAGACGACGTAGGTGAGAGAGGGAGAGAAAGAGAGGAAAGGCACTGTTTCACAGTCGTTGAGGCTTCAATAACCTATGGCTAGAGAGTGTTGGTAACATATATATGGATAAAAATCGTTCGTCCTTTTGTGATATCCCAGATTACCTTAGTCCAAATTATTCTTTCTCCCCACCTCCTCCCCATTTTCATTCGCTATAGCTTCATTGCATTTCTTTCCTGTACCCCTTCATGAAGAGTGTTCTTTATGTGAAAGATGGCAATTTCAAACTGTTACACTTTTGTGCAAAATGCTGTATTAAAAATTCAATTCATTTCAGGATATTCAAGTATTGATTCATTATAAATTGTTTAAATTAATCCCAGTGAATCTGCTGTAGAAGCTGTGGCTTACACAGCGAAACGTCCAGAAAAATCTTGTTTCGATTTTCTTAAACACACTGGGATTAAATTATATGTGTCCAAACCAAGTTCACTTTTAACGGTTTGAAAAAATTCGGGCATTGGGTATATGATATTTATTATAATAAAGGTTTTTGTATTTCCCAATGAATGAAAAACCAAACGATATTGTTTTTACTGACGTTTCGCTACTTAATGCTAATAGCTTTTTCAAAGTATTATTAAACCGGAATTTTCAAAATCCACTCAGCTTATATATAACAAAGAGTTAAGAGGTGAGAAAAGTTTACTAACTTGATCATCGTTCGTCTGTCTGGGGGCATTTTTAGATTCTCTATATAATTGTGTGTATAAAATAAAATGCTTGGAATGTGATGCGATATACATCGGACAAACATCTCGAGAAATCAAAATCAGAAGAAATGAACACCGTAGAGCATCTCTTCGACCACCGAGAAATCCTGTTGAACTACAAACACTTGAAAAATCATCAGCCATAGGTCTACATGCTATAGAGTCAGGCCACAAAATTGATTTTGACAATATTGAAATAATCCAGAAAAACTTCAGAAATTACAAAGAAGGTCTAATATCAGAAGCACTTCATATCAAGTGGAATCAAAATTGCCCGAACAGGAATGATGGACTAAGACAGAATCTGACCTGGTTACAACACCTCCCTCCCTCCATCAAGTGACAAAACCAACACGAATGTGATAAGCACTTTCATTATGTAAACATACGCTGCTTTTATAATCTTATACACTCATCAAATCCAACAATCTCCAAACACTTGGTTTTGTTATCTTTACCAATTGACCAACTTGACAACTAAAAATGCCCCCAGACAGACGAACGATGATCAAGTTAGTAAACTTTATTTTGATACCATAACAGATGTACCTTTGTTATTTGGTTTAGTTATCTTCATTGCTATTTTTACTTTCAATATGTCCCTTTAACTTGATCTATGTCTATTTTCTCACCCCCTAACTGTTTGTTATATATATGCTGAGATTTTCCAAATTCCGGTTTAATAATACTTTGAAAAAGCTATTAGCATTAAATAGTGAAACGTCAGTAAAAACAATAATATCGTTTTGTTTTTCATTCATTGGGAAATACAAAAACCTTTATTATAATGAACACTGGGATTAATTTAAATAATTTATAATGAATCGATCTGACTAGGCGCTCTAATTATTCCAGGAAGTTCGCGACACCTACGGTCTGGAAACTTATAATCTTATTAAAAATCGCATTCAAGTGTTGGTTTGCAAGGATTTGATTGATTACAGCGTTTCATCATCTGTACAGTTAGAGAACCATTGAAAAACCTGGGTCGGGTGTTGGGACAGATACTCTCAGAGGTTGGAATTCATGGACTGGCCATTGGATTGGCAGGTCCCAGTGGCTGAATGGTCTACGAGCTAGCTTGCCTTGTAACCGGAAGGTCCTTGGCTCGAACCCTGGTGGCAGTGGGGTAAGTGTATACTCCTTAAGACTCAAACGGCTGACGAAACAGCTGTCCACTACTCCAGTGTTGGTTTTCCAATGGTTCTCTAACCTATTTCAAGTTATGAGGAAATCCTGTAATCAGTTCAGGATAGTTGGTTATATCATAGAGATGTGGCATATTGACTTTCATCCAGTGGTGGGTTAGCAGGCGTTTGAATGCGGCTCTACATACTTCAGTCTGAGCAACTGACTGGATGGCAGCCCTCAAGGACAGTAAATGTGTCGCTGTTTCGAAAACTGAATCCAAATACCAAAATAATTTACTTATACACAGAAATATTTTTAATTTTATTTTGTATATTTACCTTTATAATGAAGGCACGGGGGACAAATCTATCACAAGGTTTACGCTATGATGCAGTTCATGAACGTCGACGTAAACAACAATTAAGTCTATTGTATGGACGTTCTAAAGATCAAGTAGAAGAAGAACAACGCTTGCTGATGGAGTTGCGTAAAATTGAAACTAGACGTAAAGAAAGAGAACGTAAAAAACAAGATTTACAAAAACTTATATCCTTGGTTAGTTTACCCCCACCCCCCAGTTTTTTTTCTTCTTTTTCTTATCTATTTGAGGTGTAATGTGTACATTTACTTCCATGCTTGATTATTTTCACTGTTCTTTTGAAGATATGGAACTATTGTAGGAGTATGCGACAAACTTAAGCGTATTGCATAATTGTATGTAGTGACTCACTCACTCACTCACTCACTCACTCACTCACTCACTCACTCACTCACTCACTCACTCACTCACTCACTCACTCACTCACTCACTCACTCACTCACTCACTCACTCACTCACTTGGCTGACTGACTGGTTTCAACACGAAACTTTGCACAGATGTGCAGGAATTCCAGTTCCCACTCTCCCTCCGTGTACCACACGAAGCAAGAGAAGAGAGTAAAGACAGATAATAAACAGAATTGTGAGGGAAAAAGAATAGTAAGTAATATGTAAGAACAATAGAGTTTTATTGGATATGCACCTGCGCCAGCTATTGACAACGAGGATTTTCAGCCATATCATCAATTGTCTCAAGCCACCGCCATTGGTCCTTACCATCTCGATGACCCCAACCAGACACTGGCAGTCTACACCTCCCTCCCTACGTGTTTGTCTGTCTGTCTGGCTTAAACTAACTGTTATGTATTTCATTGATTGATGAAGCGATGTTTTTGGTTTGACCACCATGTACTGTACTAGCTCTTTTGCAACTTGATCGATCCTTTCTCAACGGCTAACATTACCCGTTGTCCAGGAAAGGCGATGGCTAGGCTAGGCATGCGCAGTAACATATATCCTAACCATCTCTCTCAATCCATGTAACTCCACAACCTCGTCGATTGATTTTCAATCCTGTTTACCTAGCGCTCTACCGATACCTAACGTCCTCAATATTACCCTATTATACCATCAATTACCACCTAATACACACACAGGAGATAAGACACAGACAGACACCTAAGGAGAAAGACAACCAGCCAGCCAGTCATGTTTTTCATGTCTTCCACTTTCAATCAACAGCACTGTCTTACTCATCGTTAATTGCATCTGGGCTGCAATCCGTTGGTGCATAGGCAGAGACAACAAATAGACACCGCCTATCTGGCCTACCACTCCTTACTTTCGTATAGCCTTCCAGCTTTACAGCACATAAACGACTGTTAATGGGAATCCAGCCGAGTAATGCAGCTTCGGCTCTAGCGCTTAGTGCGACACCGACACCAGCTACGCCGGATGCCGACGCCACAGGGTCCCCGGACAAGCGCAGGTGGTACATACTACTAGAACTTCCAGATGGAGAGGATAGTCGAAGCACTTCACTGGGATCTTGAATGCGGGTCTCCGAAATGCAGCCAACATCGATAGCGAGGCTTTCCAATGTTCTTACCAACCCTATCTGTTGTCCGAATTGCATCAGTGTCCGAACATTGTAGGTGGCCAGCTTGAACGTGGCACGCGGTTCCAGGATGTCTGTGTTGGATGTCGCATTGGGGACAACCATTTTGAAGGCTACTAACTTACATCTTGAAACGGCACAGATAAGCTGGGAATTCAGACAAAGGCGAAAATCTGTCGAAGGTGAAGACGTCAAGGTTAGCAAAGGTAAAATACAGGAGTTTCTGTATAAAAATAAAAGTAAGGCTGGAAAGAGATGTGTTACTTGAGACATCATTATTGCTTGAAAGCATTGTTACGAACACGCGATAAGTTTCACTGATAGTTTGTTGCTTCATTTCATTTATTGTGTGAGGGCTGAGATACTGCCCGAGCGCCCAGACCGAAGCAGATGGTTTTCTTAAGGGACCATTCCCCGCCGAGTCTTTGACTTGGAGTCAAATCCGTAAGGCAGCGAAGCAGCATCAGGAGCTGTATTCCCATGGTTGCTGGTGACGAATATAGGTTCCGATTGGACTCTGGAGCCCATGTACCCCATGGTAACTGCTTTTAGTCTAACCGCTATCCAAACAACCTTCCTGTGACATGGTAGGACCTGCAGGAACATGAGTCCCAGCCAGTTTAGCTTGTTGTGTCACTGCGGTATTCAAGCCCGACCACCACGACAAGGTAGCAGTTGTCGGCCGGGTTGAAACCAGTCAGTCAGTCAGTAACACTGATGATATGTCCAAAACTTCAAAATATGATTTAAACAATTGTAACAAGACAACTAACACACCTCTGTGTATGTACATCAACACACCGAAAATCAATGATTTCATTCAACTGTCTTTGGAGAACATCACATCCTGCCTTTATATTGTATTGTAGTCGATTGAATTGTTCCACTAAACAATTGATTAAAAATCAACTGTATACTGTTATTTCGGTATTTTCGTGTTTTGTTTTGAAAAAAATATTTCTTAGGCTGATAGCATAACTCGTGATTCTGAAATTCCTGAGCATATGCCTACTGGTCTAGAGGCGAATAATCCAGAAGAGACAAATTCTTGGCTATCATCTACAACATTAGGCTCATCAGCATCTATGACGAATACGCCAAATAGTAGTGGAGGAGGAGGAGGAGCACAGCGTAAAAGAATTGTTGGCATAGGTGGTAATGCTATTTTATCTAATCAGTCATTTACTGGTTCAGATGTTAGTTCCAATGCTTTGACGAGTCTAGGAGGAGCACTGCTGCTGCTGCTAGCGGTGCATCTAGTTCGTCAGCATTATCTACAGGAGAGATTTGTACTTCATTGAATTCTGCTTCAAATACAGCTAACACTGCCCTGGTAAGTGTTTTGTTTTAATTTGTAGATTATTATTATATTGTGCTATTTGATACTGACTCGTCAGCTGGATGTACACGTGCATTCCTCAGTGAATGGTGGTGTTCCCATAGGGACTCGAACCCAACACCCTAACACCAATTTACTTCAAGTTAAATAAGCAGACATCGTTGAAGCATCTGCACAAGGAGGAGCCGACATGTCAACCTGAGGCTGAGCGCTTCGATCCAATCAATGAACGGGAAAGTCCTAATAGAAATGAATTGAATTCTTTTTATTTGAACTGCATACTTTCTCGAAATAGATTAATCCCTAAGTACTGATGTGAAGGGGAAGGAGGACATAAAAACAAATTTAGTTTATATGGTAAATCTTTTTTTATTTCTCAAGCATCAGCTTGCAGAAATTTGAGTGGTTTCTGTTTCAATCGCAAGCTGATGTCAGTTCAGAAAGTGTATGGTTGGAAACAAGAGAATCCTGGACAGCTGTTACGTCGGCGGTATCCAGGGGGGATCGAACCCCGGGACCTTCAGGTTACAAGGCGAACGCGTTGATCATTCATTCAACCACCAGTGAGACGAAATCCAATGAGTTATGAATTGTTTACCTCTGTCAATCTGCGCTGCCATTAACCCATGTCATCAGCGAGTGTTTATCCTCGCAGCCGACCTGGTGGTGAACCCCAGTGGTCACGACTCCTCACTAGCACTCCAAGCAAATTCATCATCCTGTGGTGGTCAGCTACTAGTAAGCATTAGATTGATGTGGATATGATCGGTGTTAAGTTAGATCAGTTCCACAGAAATCGGTTAAGCCGTTCTTGTCAAATTCTTCTAAACTTTTAGTTCTATATGCTCGCACTAGCAAGTACAAAAACTCCACCATACCCTACTTAGCTCGTTTTCTGTGCAATAAAGAAATCATTAGGCGTGATACCTATAACTTATTAAATAGTCAGTAGAACAACTGGATCTCGTCTTTCCAACTCATGTCATTTATAGGTACAACGTTTCCTTTCTTTCTTTTCTTTTTCTCTCTTTTTTCTGTTATGTGCTGCTTTGTTTCTTTCTTCCTTACAAACTCTATTTAAAACATTCTTCGTCGTTCTTTCACACTCTGTTTATCTCGACCTTTTTGTTACCGCTTACGTCAGTAAATATGCTAGCATCTACTTTTCTAACAACTTCAAACACTGTTCAATTTCGGCTTTGCTACCGACATGCCCATATGTTGTTGTCGAAACTAACTGAGATTACCTTTAATCTATGTAGAATTTTATTTATTGTTAATGTACTAACTGGATGCAATACTGTAATGAAGTGCTGAGAATTCCATTCTGTATCACAAGTACTGTTTTGGAATACAGCAAATTATTATTATTATTTCTATAATTTGTACGATTTACGAGATATAGGTAAACTCTTTAAGTGACTTATAAATCTAAGGTCAATCAATTTATCTCGGAGTATTCAAGTGTTAGTTTGCTGGGATTTGATTGGTTACAGGGTTTCATCATGAAATGATATCGATTAGAGAACCACTGGAAAACCAGCACTAGAGTTCTGTTAGACAGCTGTTTAGTCAGCCTAGTTTGGGACTGGTTGGCAGTACGCACCTACCCCACTGCCAGGGTTTGAGCCAAGGACCTTCCCGTTTACAAGGCAAGTTATCTCGTAGACCATTAAGCCACTGAGACCCGACTCCTCAATGGCCAGCCCACGAATTCCGACGTCTTCCAATTCACGATATAGCGCAACTGGCACTAGCTAATATATCGTCGCTGTCGAGTATTTGTCTTCACACTCGACCTGCTGTACCTCACTGGTCACGACTTCCTGTTATAAATGTTATTATTGTTATTATTATTCGTTTTTTGCGTTCTTGAGTGGAACGTAGGGCAGGGCTTCAGCATCATATCCCCGTTTCACTCGGTCCTCTGACATCACTTCTTAGCTGGCTGCGCACCACTACTGCCCCCCCATAAGTTTTCATTTCCTCTTCACATGATCTCTTTGTGTCGTCCTCGTACGCCTAAATCTTCCCTTCCCATTCGGGTTCCACTTAAAATTCAAAAGGTGGTGAAATCACTTGTGAAAGTCTCCTCAGCGTATGTCCAATCCATCTCCGTTGGTGGCTAGTTCTCTTCTGCCTATTGTTTGTCCTTTCTGTAGTCGGCCGTCTGCTTCTCATTATTGAACAAAGGCGCAGGTGTTGGTGGGAGTCTACAGCAGTAGGATGTTGAGACTACTTTTGTTGACAAATATGGCAAATTTGTGAACCGTGTGGAAACACACTGACTTGACATTAGTGTTGACAATTTGAATATTCTGTGCTGTAGTTCTCCATACCGATCTCATCACAGTAATGAACACCTGTCTTGCTTTTTTTGGATCCTAGCTCTTTGTCATCCAAGCTATGAGCTATAGTTATTATGTCAGGACTAATGTAAAATAGAGGTGGACGAGAATTCAAACCGTTAATCAAGCACTGGTCGAAAGTAGAGTGTTTAAGCCAGTGAGAACCACATATCTTTATTATTATTTCCTTTAATTCCTAGAGGAACATAGGGCTTCAGCCGCGCGTCTCCATTGCGTTCGGTTCTCTGCTAAAGTTTTCACCTGGCTCCACGTCTGCCCACATGCTTTCATCTTCTCCATGTTACCCTCTCACTGACGACCAACTCGCCGCTTCCTATTCGGGCTCCACTCGAGCGATTGCCTGGTGTGTGATGTCACTTGATGGTTTGTTTTCTCAGAATACGGCCAGTCCACCTCCATTTCTTCCTGCATATTGGGTGCACAATTGGTTCCTGGTTGGTTCGCTCCGAGAGATCTCTCCCGGTTGCTGATCTTTTCTGTCCGGCCGTCTGATCTTGAGTAGTATTGAGCGAAGGCAGCTGTTGATGAAGGTCTGAAGTTTGTTTGAAGTGCCCTTCGTGACACGGCGCCAAGTCTCTGATCCGTATAGTAGCACTGACTTCACATTGGAGTTGAAAATCCGGATCTCATTTTTGATGCTGAGAGTTGTTGACCTCCACACAGACTTGAGAGTAGTGAAAGCTTGTCTTGCTTTTCCGATTCTTGCTTTGATATCCTCGTCAGTTCCGCCTGTAGTTGAAACGATGCTTCCCAGGTAGGTAGGTAAAGGAGGTTGTTTCTTTCAGGTTCCTTCCATTTAGGCTGATTGTTTTCTGTTGTTGTTGTTGCTTTTGGTGGTGTTGGCCAGGAATTTTCATCACCTCTGTTTTCTCTATGCTTACCTGAAGTCCTATCTTCTATGGATGCTTTTTCTGCCAACTTGTTGCTTTTCACTTGCATATCTTCCAGTTTGTGGGAAATCACACCACATATCTACCTACCTGGTAAACATCAGTGTTAATAAGGCATACAGAGTCATTGCATGCCATTTTTTGTGTTATTATTATTTTTTTGTCAAGTTGAAACATGGATTGATTCCAGTTAGAGAACCATCAGAAACCAGCACTGCAGTACTGGAAGCTGTTTCATCAGTCTAGTTTGAGACTCATCGGTACCGCATTATGCATCCACTCTACTGGAGTTCGAACCCATGACCTTCCGGTTACAAGTCGAGCCCGTGGATCATTTAGCCACTCGTACCCGACTTCTCAATGGCCAGCTTCTACGAATTGGGTGATTTTAGACCGACTGGCACCAGTCAGTTTCACCGGTGGCGAGTATTTGTCCTCACTCCTCACCCGATGAACTCCATTGGTCATTACCTCTCACTAGAACTGCAGGCAGGCAACTTCATCCTGCAATCAGTCACCAAATAGCGAGCATCAGATTAATTTTCATGAATTGGTTTGTAGGGATTTCAATTTGTTTTTCAAGTTCGGTCACGGATTGTTATCAATTAGGAGAACCATTGAAAACTAGCACTGCAGTAGTTACTGGACAGCTGTTTCGTCAGCCTAGTTTGCAACTCATCGCCAGCACGCACTCATCCACCCCACTGCTTGGGTTCAAATTCAAGAACTTTCCCGGTTTATTGGTTTTTATTCAACTTTTTTTCTGTTATTTGTTTGTTTCAGAATACTCAGTATACAATAAACTTTTTAGAATTGGGTAAAAATCCTGGAGTTCATTTGCGTAGTCAAAAGGTGAGTCTATGTATTTTCTTTTTAAAAGTTTAATAGTCTTCTATATGAATTATTGGTTGTTTTTCATACACATATATACGCATCACGTATAATTTTTAAAGAGATATATGGCACAATAAAACTGTATAAATAGAAGGGTATCCGATAAGGCCAATTGAAGATTTTAGAAACACACCGATATGTATATGCTGTCAAGATTTCTCTCAACAATACTAATGTAATGACAGAAGACAAGGGCCAGGCAACAGATCGTTTATTGAGAAAATCAAGAGATATTTGTAGATTTTTATATACATTATTGTTAGTGGAGAAGCAACGTCTTCTGATTGGTTGTTTTCTTGCTGAAGGTTATTCTGTACTGCTTGTGACTGTTTCTCAGAAAGTTAAGCCATATATCTGCGAATCATATTTGTACACGTTAAGTCTGCTGTGATTGGTTGGTGAGTTCCTCAAGGTTAAGCTTTGTTATTGTTTTTTCTCATGACCCCGATTCGGCTTGCAGCCAGCTCTAATCACACTAATACCAACAAGAGACGACTCAAAAGCTAGAATAGCAGATTCATTTGAATGAGTGAGACGAATAAAATAGATGAAGAGGAAATACTAGTCAGCCTTGATGTAAACAGTCTCTATACTAAATAAAGTACCCATTCAAATGGATGGCCATGGTTGCGCTGAAAACAAGACTAAGCGAAGATGATGGCTTAAAAGACAGAAGACAATTATCTGTAGAAGAGATAATAAACGAGGGGGGGGTGAATTCTGTCTAACAACAACAGCAGATTTTACATTTGAAGGAAAAAAAAATATACCAAAAAATGAAGGAGAAGTAGCCAGGGGATCTCCCATCTTACCAATAATAATTATTACTATTGTCTCCGTTAGTTCCTAGAGGAACATGGGACGCACGTCAGCCGCACGTCCCCATTGCGTTTGGTTCACCGCCAATGTTTTCATCTGGCTCCACATCTGCTCTCATGCTTTCATCTCCTCTTCGCATGACCTCCTCCGCCATGTCACCCTCACACTGATGACCAACTCGCCACTTCCTATTCGGGTTCCATTCGAGAGCTGATATATATTCATGAATTTCTGGGAGGAGAATGCACTTAAACTGTTCACGTCATCAATAAAATGTTAGCGGAGATATGTAGATGACACGTGTGTAATAATGAAAAAGAATGATATTGAGAAATTCTTCTCACACACATAAACAGTCATGTAGACTGAATAAAATTTACAATATGGAAATAGAGAATGAGATTGGGGAACTACCTATGTTAGCTAGACTGCAAAATACAGAGAGTAACAGATCGCTGCATAAAAAAGACGATATATGCAGAAAAACTAAACATTCTGGGAGATTCCTTGATTATCACTCAGCTCATCTACTCATTGTAAAACGAGAGTTAGTTAAAAGGTCTTGCAGACAGAATACGTAGACTTACAATAACACCAAATGACCAACGATAACAAATAAACGTCTTATTCAAAATGTTACTCAACAACAACTACCCAAAAGAATTTATCAGAGATAATATAAAAAAGAAAAAAGAGGGTAAAAACAGAGAATGATAAAAAGGATAATTAATTGGTGAATGATGACTAGCAGTGGAATCTAGGATGCACATTTCGTCCTATTTTGGACTCGTCAGTTGGATGTACCTGCATTCCCCCGTAAGTGATGATGTTCCCACCGAGGCTCGCACCCAGTGCCCATAGTCTCCAACGCCAAAGCGTTATCCACTAGACCGCTTGGGCCACGAGAGCCACCAAATAGGACGAAATGCGCTTTATCCTGGATTCCACTGCTAGTCACCATCATCCACCAATTAACTTCTAATTACATGCCCAGGCATTGTCGAAGCATCTGCACAAGAAGCCGACATGTCAACCTGAGACCGAGCACTTCGGTCCAATCAATCAATGGATGGGAAAATCTAAAATTCAATTAAGATAAAAAGGATGGCCAAAAAACGATCAAAATTCCATACAAAAATGGTGGGTAAGAGGCAATTCAAAGAGACTTCACAAATATTGGGATTCGTACCACACGTAAACCAACGAATCTAATTAAAAATAGAACAATAGATCCAATAAAAATGATGGATAAAAGTAGTAATGTAATTTACACGATATCTTGTGCTGAATGTCCGACGTAATACCTGGGTCAAACGTGCAAATCACTCAAAAGGGGAGTGAATGAGCATAAACGTGTAACTAAGGGTCATCCTACAGGAATGCAAGTATACAGTAATTTAGAAAAAAATCCATCTATAGCTGCACATGCATGGGATAAAAACAACATCGATTGGGAGAATATTTTTGATTCTTAGTCTAATATAAACAAATGGAAAGAAAGCCTAATGACGATTTGGAATGACCTTTCATAGTATTCTCTATATCTGATTGGTTCTTGAAGGTCAACTTTTGAAAGATCTTGACTCTGGCTATGATACTTTAACTTCGCTGCCTTAATTTTAGCGTCATCAGGTCATCCAGTACATTGATTGTCAGTATTTTCTGCAAGGTAATTCTTTAACAACTGTGAAAATTTTGAAATTTCAGTAGGACTTCTCAGGTCACGAAATCCATGCAACAGGGAAGATAGATATATACGCATATAAGGCATAATACCAAGATATCACGTGAGGCATGACAACACGGGATGAGAAATTCCAATGGTGGATCAAATAGAACTCTGGTGTTATTAGATGGTTGGAGGCAAGAGGCAGGAAGCATTCCACCTAGATTTCGTGCTTGTTGGTACTCACCAGTCAGTCAGTAAGGCGTATCTGTAACAACCTTGAAGGAACTCACTTCCCTTCTGAGATTCGAACTTGCGTCACTACCCAGTGCTGTAGTCAGTCAGAGACGTTACCACTGAGCTATTCGGACTCGTGATTGATCTCCTATAGGATTGACTGTATTGGGTACTTTGATTGGACGCTAGTCAGCAACTAGTGTAATGTGTCTGGTTTTTTGTTTGGTACAGGCTGAATTCCATCATCGGTCAAGTTTGCAAAATGGCCACTATTCTAGATGACTCACTATCACAGTGCACTTTGATAGAAGCAAGATAACCAGGTAAAATGTGAAGAAGTATTAGTTGAATGGTACTGTTGTCTCCCTTCAAGCGTGGAGATCAACTCGAATAGTCATACTATCCAGTGTTCACTAACACTGACAATGGTAGTCTTATGTGCATTGAATAGCATGAAAGGGGAGGGGGATTAACCTCAGCTGCTTAATAATAAAGGACAATAAATTGTTTTATTGTGGTAACGTCTCTGACTGCAGCACTGGGTGACGCGGGTTCGAATCTCAGAAGGGACATGAGTTCCTTCAAGGTTGCAGATACGCCTTGCTGATGAGTGCCAACTAGCATGAAACCTAGGTCCAAGGCTTCCTGCCGATTGCCTCCAACTATCTAATATCATCAAAACAATGTGCACCGTGATGGCGAGCTACCTAGCATGGTGGCCACATTGCAAAACCTGACTGATAGAATTCAGTCCACACCAAAGAAAGGACTAAACACGTCACACTAGTTACTAGTGTCCAATCAAGAATAATCTAAGTCTGTACACTTTTCTTAACCAAGATCAATTATCGTATTTATCGTCAATTATTTTACTTCTTATAGATGAAATTACCTAGCAATTTAGGACAGAAGAAAACAAGAATTATTGAAAACTTTTTGGGTCATCTACAAATCGGTGAGCGTTTTTGCTTTATTTTCTTTCTTCCCCCTATTGTGTTATTTATTGACAAGAGGAAAGAAGAGATATCACAGCTGGAATGACCTTGAACCAGCCAATCACGTCGCTCAACATTACAAATGATTACTTTTCGTAATTTTCTTTGCAAGTTTCACCCTGATTCAGGGTTAAGGTTAGAGTGAAACTAGCAACGAAGATTTGGGTTACGATGGAACTTACAACGATGATTATGGGCAGAATCCACTTGAAGTGCTGAACAATGTGACTTTCATCATTCAGTTATATTCATCATAGAGTTAATCATTCATCAGAATTAGTGGATGCTATAACTGGTACTTATGCAGATTATTATTATTTCCTTTAATTCCTAGAGGAACATAGGGCTTCAGCCGTGCGTCTCCATTGCGTTCGGCTCTCTGCTAGAGTCTTCACCTGGCTCCACGTCTGCCCACACGTTTTCATCTCCTCTTCACATGACCTACTCCAAGTCATCCTTGGATGACCAACTCGCCGCTTCCTTTCGGGTTCCACTCGAGCAATGGCTTGCCTAGTGATGCCGCTTGATAGTTTCCTCAGAGTATGGCCAACCAATCCATCTCCATTTCTTCCTGCCTATTTGTTTCAAAATCGGTTCCTGCTGTGTTGGTTCGCTCATTGCCAGAGATCTCTGTTGCTGATCTTTTCTGGCCATCTGATCTTGAGTAGTATTGAGCGAAGACAACTGTTAATGAAGGTCTGTAGTTTGTTTGAGGTGTTCTTTATGACGCGCAGTGCAAGTCTCTGATCCGTATAGTAGCACTGACTTCACATTGGAGTTGAAAATCCGGATCTTATTTTTGATGGTGAGTGCTGTTGGTCTCCACACAGACTTGGCGTGAGTAGTGAAAGCTTGTCTTGCTTTTCCGATTCTTGCTTTGATATCCTCGTCAGTTCCACGAGCCTGTAGTTGAAACGATGTTTCCAGATAGGTAAAGAAGGTTGTTTCTCTCAGGTTCCTCCCATTTATGCTGATTGTTGTCTGTTGTTGTTGCTGTGGCTGTTGGTGTTGGCCAGGAATCTTCATCACCTCTGTTTTCGCTATGCTCACCTGAAGGCCTATCTTTGATGCTTCTTCTGCCAACTTGTTGCTTTTCATTTGCATATCTTCCAGTTTGTGGGAAATCAGACATATCATCGGCGAAGTCCAGATCCTCCAAGTTTTTTGTGTGAGTCCATTTTATGCCTGTTTCCTCATTGCCCACTGTCTGTCGCATTATCCAGTCTACTGCAATCAGGAAAATCATTGGCGATAGTAGGCAGCCAGCTTGTCTTACTCCTGTCCTCACTTCGAAGGATTTCGTAAGCTTCCCGTTGTGGATTACTTGGCATGCAGCATTGTCGTACAACTGTTGGATGATATGTATAATTGTCGGTGGCACCCCGTAGTAGCGAAGTAGTTGCCAAATCACCTCTCGATCGACGCTGTCGAATGCCTTTTCAAAGTCGATGAAGTTGAGATAGAGAGGTGACTGCCATTCCAAGCTTTGTTCAATGATGATCCGTAATGTGGCGATTTGATCAATACATGACTTGTTTCCAGCCTGTTCCGGTCGAAGTTTTTCATCCAGGGCATGTTTGATTCTCCCCAGGATGATGTGGCTTAGTATTTTGCTTGGGATAGACAGGAGCATAATTCTGCGCCAGTTCTTGCATTGACTTAGGTCTCCTTTCTTTGGTAGTTTGAATAAGTATTCTTTCTTCCAATCCTCGGGTACTTTGCCTTCTTTCCACACCTTCTCCAGTAGTGGCGTCATCAAGTCCGCTGTTGTCTCTAGGTGCATTTTCAATGCTTCTGCTGGGATTCCATCTGGTCCTGCTGCTTTTCCAGCCTTTAGCATCTTGATTGCCTTCAGGACTTCTGATTTCGTCGGGGGGTTGGTGTTCACTGGTAGCTCTGTCTCCGTCGTTGGTATTGTTGGGCGCGTTGTAGGTGGTGGTCGATTTAGGAGTCTTTTGAAGTGTTCAGCCCAGTGTTTCCTTTGCTCCACTTCTTTGGCGAGTGACTTTCCATTGTCATCCTTCACCGGCTTGATTTGTGTCAAACGTTTGCCCGATAGGTACCTAGTAGTTTGGTAGAGTGTTGCGGGGTCTCCTTTGCCTGCTGCTTGCTCTGCTTCACTTGCCATGGTTTCATAATACTTCTTTTTGTCTTCTCTGGCACTGTTCTTTACTCTTTTGTTCAGTGTCTTGTAGTTTGTGTTATGTATGTGAATATGAGGACCTTGTAGACTACGAGCGAATCTAACTAATGCGCTGGCTAATCTGTCCTAATCGCACGTCAACAACAACAACAATACCGCCGGGCACGCAAGACAAAAATAAGAGAAGACTGGACGTTGATACGAGAGCTTTTACTGTCTCTAACAACAGTCGAAATGTTAAACAACAACTCCGTATTTATACAGTTAGGTAAATCAATGTCACATTTTAAAAATATTAACAAACCATGGGAATTCAGTAATTAAAATCAATAATCACGCAGATGCGGGAAATCAATGATTATGCTAGTGTGTGAAATAAATAATGAATATTAATGATTCACCTGTGTATATATTAGTTTGCATTCAAATCCTGTTTTTGTTGCTCGTCGGTGCACTGAAGAATTTTGGTTTCACCATCCTTCTCTCTTCTATTAGTATCCAAGTGTCCGTAGTGAGCCACTGTTTGTCCTGTCTCTTCTTTCTGCCTAGAACTTCCATGCAGGTCTGACTCCACACTGCTTTCAAGTTGTTCCAGTGGTTTTCGACGCTGACCTCTTCGCCAGTGTTGATTTGTGTCTCGGCTTTGTCCTTTATGCTTGCAGTGAAGATGTCCTTTGTGTCCTGGTTCTTCAGTTTTTGAGTGTTGAACTTGGCTTGTGGTCTATCTGCAGCTCCTGTTTCTCTGAAAGCTTTTAATTTGATTTGGATTGTCCCTTGTACGAGATAGTGGTCTGAGCCAACGTCTGCTCCTCTTCTTACTCACGCCATCTCTAGCTTAGTAGACGTGTGATATCCAGCTGACTGGATAACTGGCTGTCGACCGAAGGATGTGTGTATCGCTCAGGCTCAGCAGTCACTTCGTTGCTTCTTCCTATATGGCTGGCTGGTTGTGAGTGGAAGACATGAAAAGCCTGACTAGCTAGCTGGCTGTCTTTCACTATAGGTGTCTGTCTGCGTTCTATCTCTCGTGTATCTTGAGAGGTAGGTGGTGGCATAATAGGGTTAAGCTTCGGTCGAGTGGTAGGTAAGGAGGAGGGAAAATCAATCAATGAGGTTGTGAAACAGTTACATGGATTGAGAGAGATTGTTAAAACGTGCGTTGCTGCTCATTTGCAGCCTAGCCTAGCCATCGATCGCCTTCCTCAACGGTCAACGTTAGCTGCTGACATAGGATGGATCAGGTTGGGAAAAAGTTGGCTAGTGATGGTTAAACAAAACACGGCTTCATAGTCAATGAAATGCATAACAGTTAGTTTAAGCCAGCCAGACACGTAGGGAGGGAGGTGTTAACTGCTTGACTGGCAGTGTGGTTGGGGTGGGTCCTCAGGATGTTAATAACCAATGACGGCGGCTGGAGACAATTGGTAATATGGCTGAAAATTGTGGTTGTCAATGGGTGGCGCAGATGTATTCACTCTTCTTTGTGATTTGTCAGTTCTTTTTGTCTTTTGGATGTCTCTTTACTCTGTTCTTTTGCTTTGTGTGCTACATAAACAGAGAGTGGCAAGTGGAGCTGGTGCACATCTGTGCGAAATTCTATGTTGAAATCTAGTCAGTGTGTTTTTGTACAGATATTTACGGTACTCATTTTCACATGTTTCTTTTTTCTTCTACTAACTATTATTATTGTAGATCCTAATCCACCAGCGACTGCAGAGATTGTTGAAGCCTACAACAGTTTACGTTCCAAGATTCTATTATTATTCGATTTACGTCTAGCATTATTAAACTGTGATTTTGAACTTCATTCTGCTCGTTTAAGATTAGAAGCATTTGCTCCTAACCAGGTAATTTTTAAGAAAAAAAAAAATTCTTTTTTGTATTACATTGAAATGTGATCACATCAGATCAATGTGGTCGTATTATTATCATATTATTATTATTATTATTCCCTTTGGTTTCGAGTAGAATACAAGGCATGAACAGCTCATCTGCGTGTTGTCCAGTTTTCTACTGGCTCCACGATTTTGCGAAAAAGCTCTCATTTTCTCCCCACACAATCTCCTCTATATCATCCTCGGATCAACGTCCAACTCGTCTTTTCCTATTTAGTTTCCAATTGACAGCGTGGCGCGCAGTGTCACTCAACAATCTTCTCTGCACGTTTATCCTATCCATCTTCATTTTTCGGCATATTTGTCGGTCGATTCACTCCTAGAGTTCCTTGTTGCTTGTTAATCCTTTCTTTGTCATGTGATCTTCAATAGGGAGCCAGCAAAGGAGGCAGCTGTTGATACAAGTCTGAAATGGCCTGTTGGAAATGCTTTTCATGATGCGTGGGCTGTGTCTGAGCCGCCACGGAGGAACATTATTGTTGAAGATGCAGATCTTTTCTTTGTGCTGTGGAGTGCAGTAGATTTCTACAGTGATTTCAAATTTATGAGGTTCTGTTACGCTTTTCCAATCGTGTCTGGCTTTGATATATTTATCTGTTCCGCTGGCCTGTAGTTGAAACGATGCTGCCTAGCCAGATAAGTGAAGGGAGTGACCTCTTTCAAACATCTTCCTGTGATGGTAATTGGTTATCTTCTTCACCTCCATCTTCTCTATGTTCACCTGGAGTCCTGTCTTCGCTACCTGCCTGCTTCTTCAACCAGTTTGTTGGTTTTCACCTGCGGGTCTTCAAGTTTGTATGATATTAAACATAAATCATCCATGCGCGAAATCCAGATCTTCTAGAATCTTCTTATCGGTGGTCCAACGTATTCCTGACTTCTCTCTCCTCTCATGTGGTCTTCCGTATCATCCAGTCCACCACAATTAGGAATATCATCGTCGGTGATAATAGGCAGTCAGCCTTTTCATACTCTTGCTTTCACTTGAAAGGCTTCGCTTCGCTTCGTCTCTGTAACGAAGTATGAAATAAATTCAAGCAATTATTGACTAGGAAATGCTCATCTGTTTCAGTTATCTATATATTTTATTTCAAAAAATAGCTTTCTTTATATACTACTGTTTAACAAAGCTGAGCTTAATTTATCATCGAAAGGCATAGAACTGTTTCTATAAAGTCTATATATACTTCTGCTCAGCTAAAGTGAGGATCGGGAAAGCAAGACAAGCTTTCATTACTCTCAAGTCTGTATGGAGATCAGCAGCATGAACAGTATGAAGTCAATGCTACTATACGCATCAGAGGCTTGGTGCGTCACGAAGGCCATTTCGAACAAACTACAGACCTTCATCAACAGCTGTCTTCCCTCAATACTACTCAAGATCAGACGGTTGGCCAGAAAAGATCAGCAATAGTGAGGGATCTCTGGGAACGAACCAACCCAGCAGGAACCAATTGTGCAGCAAATATATGCAGGGAGAAATGGAGGTGGGTTAGCCATACTCTGTGATAACCATCAAGTGAGATCACATGCTAGACTGTCGAGTAGAACCCGAAAGGTCGTCAGTGCGAGGGTGACATGGAAGAGGTCGTGTGGCGAGGAGGAGATTAGTTATTATGATTAATCGTGTACCCGGCAGAAGAGGATGGCAGAAAATAGAAGAAAGTGGAGATGTGTTGTTGAAGCCCTATGTTCCACTGGGAACCCATAGGAATAATAATAATAATAACCAGTGAACCGGAATGTACTAAGGACGAATAGGCATATCTAGCATATCAATTGAATTCTCCACTGCGTCAGTATTATGATTTATTTTATTCCCTTACGTTCCGAGTGGAACACGGAGCTTCAAGCTTCAGCTTTGGAGTTTCGGTGGCAGTGGTTTTTTATTTTTACAGGGTGAAGTGGCTTGTCACCCAATACTCCATTCATAAATAAAGTAATATCCCAATACTCTACTTCCGTTCAACTTGTCACATTTCAAAGCAGCCCACAAAATAAGGCGAGCAGGAATTGCTGTTATACTAATCAAGTGTCGACTTGCAGGGATTTGATTGGTGGTTACAGAATTTCATCATAAACTGACGTTGGTTAGAGAACCATTGAAAAACCTGCGCTGGAATACTAAAGAGATGTTTCGTCCTAGTTCGGGACTCCTCATCGGTACGCACCCACTGAGTATCGGACCTAGGACCTCCCTGTAGCAAGGTGAGTTCACAGACCATTAAGCCACTGGGAACCTGATCTAAGGAACATAAGTCTTTGTGGCATATCTCCATTCCACTTGCTTCTTTGACATCACATTCAACTCAGCTGGCTTCACGATTGCCCATAAGTTTCAATTTTCTTTTCATATGAGCTTCATATCGGCCTTGGCCGCTTGGCCTATGGATTTCCGTTCTGGTTCCAGTCGAACCCGCCTCCAAAGCCTCAGGATGGTCGGGGGTGGGTGCCTTGCGCTGCGGGTTGGCCACCCCTCCGCCCACCTCTTGAATTGCCCCCATATGACTGGGCGTCTTACATAGCCTCTCCTGAGGAAGTCCTACTCACTGCCTTCACGTGGCGGAGGTGTTTTTCACCAAAGTGAGAGGGCGAAAGCAGATGCCCGGCGCTCTTCACCGGGTTGACTGTCTATTGGATGACAGTCTAGGGGAGATGGCTAAACCCTGATTCCAAACCTCCAACGACTGGCGTATGAAGCTCACTGGAGCTCACCGGAAGACGTATGGACAAAGGGCTTGTTGGATGTCCTGGATGTCTGGCCCCATTCAAAAAGGCGTATGAACCGAACTCCGGTCACCGGCTGCCAATGGATAGTGGACTCCCTACTCCACTCCTACTGCCTTGTAGGTCACACTTGGTTGTGTAAAGACTAGAGCTGCACTCTCGAACAAAAGGCCGAGCGATTCTGGGGACATCACTCGTACCAAATTCCCATGAAACTTCATGAACTCTATGTTCATGAAGCCGGCTCATCCTCCCATAGGAGATAGCCGAAGTAAAGTAAAGTAAGTAGAACCCGCTTCACCATCACTGAGCTATTCGAGCTTGTGACTGAGCTCTTGTAGGATTGACTGTGTTGAACACTTTGATTCACAGTGCACTGTGGTGGTGGGTCACCTAGTGGTATGGTGACCGACCACATTGCAAACTTGACTGGATTTAATTCAGTCTATACCAAACTAAGGACTAGAGACATTACGCTAGTTACTAACTAGTGTCCGATCAAACTGCTATATATATATATATATAGGAGTATTTTTGATACAATACGCAACATTTTATCAATCATGTGCCAGTGATATGTTTGTTGACAATAATTAGTCAGTATCAACATGTGTCAGTGAGGGGGTGATAATTAACGAAGAAAATTAGTAGAAACAATTTAAAAGGTAGAAATGTTTACAACAAGTGGATTGCATAACGCATTAGTTTTGGAAAAATAAAGGGTAATTAAGCAATAAGCCAGTGTTCAAATTGATTACGTAATAGGTAATTAAAGAAAAATAGAACATTATGAACAATTATAATTTTTTTAAAACCGTAGGGGGAGGACAGGATAGTCGGGTTTACACATTCATTTTGGTGTAGTTGTGTTCTTGAGCCGGATGGTTTACTGACGAAGCTTTCATTGCCCCAACACTAGGCAACATCTTCGGCGCATACTTCAATTTGTTGAAGTGAGCTTTTAGAATTCTCCACGAGTTTATTAGTCATCTCTCCTGGTGGGTAATCTTGAATGTGATTGGTTGTTTTTGTGTTTTCACACCCTGTAGGCTACTTGTATTGGTATTGGTACTGATTGTTTCCCGGACCTGAAGTTTGAACCTTTGTGTTTGAGATTTCCTTCTTATCGATTGGTAAATTTTGTCTATCTCGATATGTCTATTAATTGACGATTCACTGGAATACCAGGCTTCCAAAAATTCTCTGGCATTCTTGGTATTTCTTCTGTGTGGAATTCGAACGTTGTCACAGTCGAATTGATGTCCGTGGTTGTCTGTATGCAGCGATATGAAGGAGTGGATGTCTTGTCTTTTGACGGCTCGTTTATGATCATAGATACGAAGACGAAGAGGATATCCACTTTGTCCAATGTAATGTTTTTCGTAGTAGTAGCGACTTATTTTGTAGATGATGTTGGTCCTATCTTCTTTCGCTGTTGTGTCTTTTGGTTGACACAGAGGCAGCCGAGTAAAGTGTTTTTGTTGGTTTATGTGCGACGTCAATTCTTAAAGGTTTGAAGAGTCTTTTAGTGATTTCTGAGATGTCCTTTATATATGGTGGAGTGATTTTTCGGTGCTTGTGTTTGGGGCCATTGATTTGGTAGGTTGGCTTGGGGTTACATGTCTTTTGATGAAGTTCCGTAGAAGACGTCCATGAGATATTTTTCTTCAGTTTCCCTTAAGGTAGTAGTGCTGCAATGGTAATTATGTAGTATGAAAATGACCAAGGTAATGGTATTGGCTGTACGAATTTTTTCCGAACATAGGTTTGTCTTCTTCAGGTGGATTCCGATGTCTCTCTTCAGCTGTATGTAGAAGACGAACTAGTAAAGCAAAATTAGGATTGAATATTAGATGAGTTTATTTTGAATATTACACAGTGATGATGCAGTATTAACAACTGGACGACGTTTTGAGAATAAATTATTACCACTCATAATCATATCAATTCTAGTCACACAGTTTCACAGTTTGTCTTATATTTATTTTCTTTCTAAATGTCTCCCCAACTTCCCTTTGTTGTTTGTTGCCACTTTCCATGTCTCCCGTATAGGCGTCGCACGTGCGACGTATGTGGTGTTGAATCGATAAACAAAGCTTCAGTGATTAACCTCTCTGTCTCTCCACCTAACTAAATAACTTTTTAATACTCTCACCCTGTCCCACCCACCTTATTGTGTGTTCGATTACATGCAAGTGAATGCAGTGCAATGGCTGAGCTCTGTTTTTTCTAGGTTATTTAACTTAACAGGGTCAATTATTCTAGGTCTAGCTAGGTTTAGTCAAGTTCTACGCTTACATTAATGGTAATTGAATTTAATTGTCAATTAGTATCCTTGATTCATTCGAACACATAAATTAATGTGCCGCCGCCTCATTTCAAAATCCATTAACATAAATATTGTTCCACACACAGTTTTTGCTTAGAAGTTCGATTTTACTTTGTGTAAGAATGCGATAAATAACTTTAAATGTTGTATTGTTAACATCAACTTTATACTCACTATCTATTTACAAGGTGTACTAAAACAGAGTTACGAATAGATTTTGTTCATCCCTTGCTTAGCCGGACTAACTGACTGACTGGTTTGAGCGTAGAACTTTTCACCGATGTGCAGCAGTTCGAGTCGTCACACTCCCTCCTTGTAGCACACAAAGCAAGAGAAGAGAGTAAACAGAGATATGAGGCAAAAAGAATAGTAATATGGAAGAACGCTAGAGTTTTATTGGATATTATAAATCACAAGGAGTGAATGCATCTGTGCCATTGACAACGAGGATTTTTAGCCATATCACTAATTGTCTCCAGCCACTGTCATTGGTTTTACCATCCCGAGGACTCCAACCAGATGGCAATCTACACCTCCCTACGTGACTGGCTGGCTTAAACTAACTGTTGTGGATTTTCATTGACTGATGAAGCCATGTTTTGGTTTGACCACCACTAGCCAACTCTTTTCCAATCTGATCCTATGTCAGCTAACATTGCCTGTAGAGGAAAGCGATGACTAGCCATGCCTAACACATTTCCTAACCATTTGTCTCAATTGATGTAACCTCACAGCCTCGTCTAGTGATTTCCTCTCCTTACCTAGCTAGCACTCGACTGATGCCTAACCTCAATATTGCTCCCATTATTATTAACCATGGAGGATGATGTTCAGAAATACAATGATTTGTTAATTTTCTTGGTTTATTATTCCCCCGCCCCCGCCGTTCTTTGACATATTGATACTGACTAGTTATTGTTAACAAACATATCGCCACTTGCTTACAGGATTTCATCATGAGCTGATATTGGTTATAGAACCATTGGAAAACCTGCAAGGAGTACTGGACAGCTGTTTCTTCCTAGTTTGTGACTCTTCACAGTACGCACCCACCGGGGTTCGAACCCAGGACCCTCTGGTTACAAGGTAGGTAGTTACCTGGGGTTCTAGTGGGAAGTCGTGACCAGAATAGGGCCAGTCAGTCCATCAATCAAAGCCCTACAAACCAATACTTGAAAATCAATGAGATGCTTACTAGCGACTGGCCCTATTCAGGTACGTAGTTACCTGGGGTTCTGGTGGGAAGTCGTGACCAGTAGGGTGCAGCAGGCCGAGTGTGAGGAAAAATACTCGCCGAAGACATTGGTAACTGGTCGCGCTACTTCGTGAATTGACAGAAGTTGGAATTCATGGACTGGCCGTTGGATAGGGTCCTAGTAACCTAATGGTCTACGAGCTCGCCTTGTAACCAGAAGCTCTTGGGTTCGAACCCCGACGTATGGGTGCGTACTGATGAAGAGTCCCAAACTAGGACGAAACATCTGTCCAGTACTCCCTGCAGGTTTTCCAATGGTTCTCTAACCGATGTCAGCTCATGATGAAATCCTGTAACCAATCAAACAAAAAATCCCTACAAACCAACACTTGAATATCGCCACTTGATTTGGTAAACTGTTGTGTATTGTATGAAAAATGTCGTAGATATATTGTAGTAGAACCATAGTGAGATGAGGATATCTAATTGAAAAGTAAATATTTTTTCGCTGCTCAATAATCCTTTTGCCTTTTTTAACTGTCTAAATGGGGGCTGTTTTTTTGTTCTTCTACATTTTTTTATTCTAGCCATTACCGCTTGAACTTGCAAGTCTTCCAAATCCTGGTATGTCAGAATCATCATCCTCAGCAGAAGATTCCTATTACAATATAATTGATCCTTTAATTCTGGCGGCATTACGTGTAGCTGATTCGAAGCGTCCAATTCTTCCACGTCATTCACTTGGTGTAGCTGGAACATTGGCTGCAGCTGCTGGTAGTTTAGGCCTATATAATGCTATTAATAATAACAATAATAATACTACAAATATAAATACTACAACATCAGATCTAAAACTTCGAATAACTAATAATTCTCTACAAGGTTCTACAGATTTTGGACATATATCATCAGATTCAATAATGTCTGCTAATCGGTCTTCTCCAGCGTTATCATCATCATCATCTGCAGCAATTGGTATTGGTGGTGGTAACTTCGATTCAGATAACTCATCTTCAGCTGGAGATGGTATTGGTGGCGGGAGTTCACAGCGTCGTAGACGAGCAGCAGCATTGGAACAAGGACGTGTTTTAAAAAAGCTTAAAATTAAAGGACAACTTGTAGACTATAATATGATATGGTCAGAATTATTATTATTTATTGTTTGTTTGTTTGTTTGTCTGTTAACAAGCGTATATTTGTGCGTGTGTGTGTGTGTGTGTACATATCTGTAACTTTTTCCAACTGCCGTTTGCTTTATCTCTTATATTGTAATATTTAACTTCTTTGAATATATATATCTTTACTTTCCCAATGGATTCTGTTACCGCTTGAGATTAACTTCTAAGAATTTCTGTTAGTTATGCTGCTTAAACGATTTCGAGCTGGTTCCTGATGGATCAGCTTCAACTGGAATTAACTTTTACAATTTTAGATTTTCCCGTCGATTGATTGATTGATTGGACCCCGAAGTGCTCGGTCTCAGGTTGACATGTCGGCTTCTCCTTGTGCAGATGCTTTGACGATGTGTCTGGGCATGTAATTAGAAGTGAATTGGTGGATGATGGTGACTAGCAGTGGATGGACTCGAGGATAACGCGCATTTCGTCCTATTTGGGACTCGTCAGTCACTGGATGTGTACCTGCATTCCGCAGTGAGTCAGGGATGGTGTTCCCCCACAGAGGCTCGAACCCAGTGCCTATAGTTTCAAACGCCAAGGTGTTGTCTACCTGAGACCGAGCACTTCAGTCTGATCAATCGACAGGAAAATCTAAAATTAAATTAAATATTCCCATAGTAAAATTTAGAACAACACATTTAAGCAAACAATATTGTGCTTTCAATTAGATCTCATCAGGCTTAACTCTAATATAAATAACTTTACAAATAAAAATTCAAATATAAACTTATCATGGTGTTTTGTCAATAAGATGGTGAATATAAATTGTGCAATTAGTCATAATAGTAGTAATGATAATAATAATAGTAATAATAATAATAATGGTTCTATCAATAATAAGGATGAAAAAATGAGACGATCTGTGATAACACGAATAATGAAAAAACAGCATGATTAAACAAACAAATGTTCAAGTACAAGTAATCGATAAAGGCTAAGGGAAATAAATGAAACACGTTTTCAATGAAGATGTGATAAGATTAAGGGATGATAAGAAAGGGGTTGAAAATATAAGTAAGGGGTGGTGGAGAAGTCACCAGTTGGTTATGTCTTAATAGGCCAACAAGGGAGGAATAATGGCTGTACGAACTTCTTTTGAATGCATAGTTTAGGTTTAATAGTTCGAATGCCTATCGCCTCAGCTGTGTGCAGTAGACGAATACGAAGTCTATTGGAAAGATTCGGTGGGATACGATGAATTACTTTGAAAGCTCTCGTTTTCTCCACTACATGACCACTATCAATTAAATGTGACAAAATTGAGCTACGGATTGTTTTTGTCTGTCCTTTGCCAAGCCACGATGGGAGATGTTCAGTAGTGGCACGTTGGCTAAGCTGTCTAGTAGTACGCCCAACATAACTATCACCGCAGGTGCAGTTGAATTGATAAATGCACATAGATGTGGCAAAACTATCTAGCTTAACCTTCGTTTGAGTCCCAACTATTTGTCGGCTAGAGAATGACAAGCATAGGTTTGCCACATGCGTAAAACGTTCTTCGTATACTCCTGGAAAGTCTTTGGAATAAAATCTCACTTGATAAGTCACCATTAAATTGTAACTTAATAAATAGAGGTTTTTTACGTGCAGTCATCGTCTCAGGTTTTCTCTCTGATGTTTTCATATGTTGTTTCTTTATGAAACTATTCGGATAGCCCATCTCCGTCAAGGAATCGTGAATATATTCAAATTCCTTTTGTAAGAGGTCATCCGTACATATCTTTCTTGCTCTGCTCGCAAGACATTTAACAACATTTCTTTTATATTTAATGGGTACGTAACTAAGGAAGTGTGTGTATTGCCCTGTGAATGTGCTTTTTCTATACACGCTTCTCCCAAGTAACCCATCTTCTCGCCTGCTTAGCAGGACATCCATTTATTCCTGTTAGACGTGAACTTTAGCCATACTATCTGCTGACTTTTTAGCCTGTCCCACATAACCTGGTAGTGGCTAGGCTGTTCTTAACATTCGGATCCTTGTCCATATTACTGTTTGCAGTTGTCTGTAGATGCCTTTCTTTTTCTCGTGATATGAGTCGTTTGTGGTAGCGTAGCAGTGAATAACTGTAACTTTTCTTCCTTTTGAGTTGAATCTTGCTGTCATTATCCTGGAGGAGATTGGTTCCCGATGCATAACAGCCTTCAGCAGCTGTTGGTAACATCGTGTCAGTCACTCCCTTGGTATATTCGTGGTTGTCGTCTGGTTGACTCTCCAGGTAACAATTTGAATGGTCTACTTCCATTCTATATGCCCTCACAGATTCTTAGGATTTCTGTCCTGTATCTTCTCATCTCCTTGACAGTCTAGACGGTCTTCTCATTGTGGACACTATGCGAACACTCCATGTTCCCATGCGTTTATTTATTTTCCTCGAACGAAGATATTCAGGTTGATTGGCTTCCCTAAAGCGTCTCTTGGAAACTTGTTAGTTAGGCTACATTTACGACTTTGAGCTCGCTTCCAGTTGGTTTCGATGAGTAATGAAGTTAATGATAGTTGTGTTGCCATCTATCCTGTTAGATCTGAGCTCTAGCCATACTGCCTTCTGACAGTTTAGCCTGGTCCATGTAACTTGGCGGTGGCCAGGCTGTCCTTATTACCTCTCCAACACTAACGAAGGGAGAATACAATTCTCACAGCTGTTCATAGGTGTATTTATTAGTCATGATAATAACAGATTATGCAGATACGCAATCTTCACACCAAAACGCCGCCGCTGAGCTACTGTTTTTTTGGAAGTTATACATTGGCCACCTTATGTTTCAATTCGCACGGATAGACAAATTGATGATCATTGACGGTGAAATGGCTGAGATTCACAATTGGCTTGATGGAATTCTTTGATCCCCTACAAACTGTTGAACAATTGGATCTATGTGTTTCATCTATTAAGTTGTAACTGCATAAGGTGTTATAAGTAAAACACGTAAACTATAAGTTTTAAAGGTTAGTTAGACATAAAGTGCTAATCGATATGTGATGGTTACTTATATGGCTGAAGTGTGGATAAGTCGATGTGTCAATGTTAATCAACTATACTATAATGGGGCAGTCCACTAGGCGCCGTACTAGCAGACATCTTCATGTCTAATATTGAGATAACAAAGCTAAAAAGGGCGATCGATGAGACAACTTCCTATTATCGATATGTTGACGACGACACCTTCATATTATGTGATCATGAAAATCATGCATCTCCTCTACTTCTACCGTTTAATAACGCACATGAGAATGCTGACTTCACAAGGTCACAGAAACTGATGGAAAGTCCCATTTCTTTGATATTGCCTACAACGTTGCTTGGAAGATGGAAGTCTGTGAAGATCCATTCACCGAAAATCCATGTGGAATGGACTATACTTAAATTTCAATAGTTTTCATCCAATTAGATACAAACGAGCATTGGTCAAAACTCTGTTTTATAGAACCAGTAGAATATCCTCCGCAGAAATACTGGATGGAGAACTCCTAAACATTGAGAAAGTTTTGAAAAATAGTGTTTACCCTTCGAAATTCATCGAAAGGTATGGGAGATCTGAAAACCTGAAGGTGAGACAAATCACAGTAAATAAGAAAGCTATCTTCATCTAACTGGATTTTAAAGGAGGTAATAATGCAGGAATAACCAACAGAAGACTGAAAATGTCTCCAGCCAGAACCTATCCTGCAGCCAAATTGGTTCCTGTTTACCGAACAACAAACTCTTTGGTACAATCAAAGATTGATAGATACCCTTCTTATGTTAACTCTAATTGTGTATACAAACTTACGTGTGTCTGCGGGATTAGTTAGAACATTGAGAGAGCAGAAAGAAGGGCATATCTCAGATTTTCTGAACATTTACCAAAAAGTTTACGTCTCAAGGGAACAAATGCTTTGAACGGTACTGTCGCCAGACATCTTGTTGAAAGGGGTCATGAGGTGGACACAGTGAAGTCCTTCAAGATTGTTAATAGACAATATAACTCAACTCTCCTCAAATTTGCTGAAGCAATCACTGTTAAACGCCTAAAACTTGTGTTCAGAAAGATTCACTTATTAGTCGTTCATTGCCATTGGTGAATCAACGTCTAATCTCTTCTTTTCAATTGATTACATAATCTCTCTCTCTTGATTAGTCCTTCCCCACCCACTTCTTTGCTTTAGTGCAATTCAGTTCTTCTTTGTTACTACAACTTGAGTTAAACTCACCATACTCATCATCGACTTCTCTCCTCTTGTTTTGACTGTACAACTCAATTTTCAATGTATCCGACCATTAATTTTGCATGAACCTTGACCTCCTTTATAAGTTACACGAAGTGGAACTTCTGAACATTGTTTATTAATTTACGTGTCTCTGTTAACAAAATTCATGTTGATCCTTGTAAGTATGACAAAATTCTATGTACATTTACATAATCAACTTTTAGGTTGTAAGCAGATGAAGAGAATCCGACGACGAAATAAGTGATGGCCTCATATTATTATTATTTTGCACAAACATTTATTGTTTTTGCTTTGTTTAAATACTATTATATAATTGAAATCAACAGCACGAATGTATTTAGGGTCATCAAGTATGTGGGAGGGGTATTCATTACTGGGAAGTAGGTTATTTAAATCTATATGTGTTGTGAAGTGGTGTTCAGTTCAAAGAACTAGACAACTGCTAGCAGTTACTTCTTTGAAAACTGAAATCCTGAAAGCTGGTACTTCGGTATGATGGTTTAGCATGCATATTCCTTCGAACGACCCAAAAAGGTATACTGCCTGGAATGAATGTTCCTGCTGGTCCTAACATACTGCTACTACAAAAATCGATTGTCTTTCAAATATTGGTTTATAGGGATTTGAATGATTGGTTACAGGATTTCATCATGAGCTGACATTGGTTAGAGAACCACTGGAACACCTGGGAGTAATGAACAACTGTTTCGTCCTAGTTTTGGACTCTTCACCAGTACGCATCCAACGCCATAGCTCGAACTCAGGACCTTCTTGTTTCAAGTCGAGTTAGCTTGTAGACCATTAGGCTACTGGGACTCGGTCCAACTGCCCATGAATTCCAACTTCTGCCAATTCACGACATAGTGCGACTAGCACTAGCCAATGTCTTCGGCGAGCATTTGTCGTCACACTCGACCTGCTGCACACTACTGGTCGCAGCGTCCCACTAGAACCCTAGGTAACCATCTACCTGAATAGGGCCAGTCGCTAATGAGCATCTCATTGATTTTCAAATATTGGTTTGTAGAGATTTATGTTTGATTGGTTACAGGATTTCATCATGAGCTGACATCGGTTAGAGAACCACTGGAAAACCTAGGAGCTCACCTTGTAACCAGAAGGTCCTGGATTCTAACCCCGGTGAGTGTGCACTGATGAAGAATACCAAGCTAGGACGAAACAACTGTCCAGTACTCCAGTGCTGGTTTTCCTATGGTTCCCTAATGGAAATATCAGCTCGTGATGAAATCCTGCAGCCAATCAATCAAATCCCTACAAACCAATATTTGAAAATCAATGAGATGTTCAATAGCGACTTGCCCTTCCCTATAGATTCTTTAACGACCGAATTTATTCGTTTGTGGTCAGAACGCAAGAAACTGATCTCTACGTCCTACTGTATAGCCGACGAAACTTCGTTGAGACACGCGCTATCACGAAACGTTTCAAACGGAGGGAGAAGACGATTATTCGCATATACTTCGGCAGTTTAATAAATGCTGGGATACTTGATTATTATTCAATTGCAATATACTAATATTAGCCTCTCTTTCACTCACTGGAGTCAACAGATTAACAGTATTTGTTGGTATATATTCAGCTTGTGATGCACATTCAAATGGGACGCTGATATTTGACTGATTATAATCCAATTCCTCTAAATTCCAAGGCTCATTATCAGGAGCAGACGTGGCATTCCCCATCTTTACTAATGAACCACGCCCAAACATACGGCGACAATGCAAAGTAGGACGAATACTGCGCTACCAAATTATTACAAACATGATTAGTGAAAACAAAGCTGGCCTGAGATCTAAATAATGTGGGTGTCTCCGTAGTGATTTGAGAATCTGTAGAAGAAGAATAATCCAATAATGGCAGCCATTATCATCCTACTGACAGTACAACGAGGCCGTGTGAATATGTTGCAGAAAGTGACGTACAGGCAGCTTGCAAGAAGTAAAATAGCAGTAGGGAAAGGAATAAATTGTGTGACTGATATAAGAATAAAACTTCGGCACTGTTGTGGTAGGATATAATTCCATTATGCGCACAATTTATTTTGTTAAAGTCTCACAGTGTTGTTATGCAGTAATATTTACTGATGACGACGTTTCGAGGACAATTTAATGCTGCTCAAGGCACTACTCACACAACTTTCTGACTTCGTTTATATAATTCCATTATTTTCTATCGCTTGACTTGATTGGTAGTAGTATTTTCCATATATCTGAATCATTCCTATTTCATGTGTTGGGTGTAGATTATTCGATGAACAAGGATTCAGTAATCAACCTCCTTATTCACCTACCTATATTGCTTTTTAGAATTTTGACTATGTCCCACCCTATTGTGTGGTTGTGTGTTAATGCATACAGTACAATGTAGTGCTGAGCTTTTTTCTAAATTACTTATCTTCTCTGGGTCAACCATTCTTACCTTAGCTAAATTCTTATGTTCTGATAATCTCACTACCCCGATCTACTACTGGTTTGACCTATTTATTTGACTTAACTCACAGTCATTGCAAGGTATTTTGTAAATTATATTATTTTGTCTAATTGAGTCAACCTACAGGGTCCTTCAACCTATAGAGCTTGTCCTACCTCAGTGAGTTTGTAGGCTTAAATGCAAACTGACTCAATGACAAGCTCTGCGACGGAAGGACAGTATGTAAATGCCCCCGAGTGACACATGCCGAAAATGCGTGATTCCATTTATGACCTCATCTTGACTAGGACCCATATGAGCCTCCAGCAATCAATAAATGTGTACTGAATATGTGTTAAAAAAGGTCCAAACTGTTTAGATAAGTGTATGCAAAACTCCCAGATTCTGTGACCACAGTAATCACACCAATTTTACGTACAAAATTCTTCCACTTTACCCACGAGGACACAGTGGTAACGTTGTCATCACGGATGAAAATTCATTTTCCAATAAGCAGTGCGTAAATGCTCTCAAGCAGTTGTTCTCTGGTCGGTTCTTTCAGGTACTTGAAAATGTTATAAACTTTCAAGTGTGGGAGGTAGCAACTGCCAACACACACTTCCACAGGTATATAAAGTTCCTCTGTTCATCATCCACCTTTTCATGCCGCTAATATTACTCCCCAAACAGTTTCTTCATCTCCCCTTAACTTTGTGATCATCGCTACCGGCTTCAGCCAAAGAAATACTGTAATAGGTCTCTTAAGATCAGCCTACCAACTTTATAATTGTAGCTATTGGACGACAGGCATCACTAGCCAAGACTTTAGAATCTTGGGTTTTGGGTGTTTATTGTGTCTCTGGAACACGCATACAAAACACAAGTGTGGCTATTCACTTAATCCCAATTTACATAACACACACACGCCCACACTAACTATAACAGGGGGCCTGTTTGAACTTTGGACTACCTAAACTTCCGTCTACATACTGAATCGAATTTATCGTGTTTTATTTGTATTTATGAATCAAAGTATGACGTCAAATCGTATGAATAAATTTCGCGAATTTTTTAATTGTTCAAGACCAAATGAATTTCTAGTTTCTAACAAAGCTGAGAAAAAGCATCACCGTGTTTAGCAACGAGCACTAAGACACCCCGGCCCCTGTACATCGTATTACTGTTCCTGTTATCATTAGTACCAACTTCTGTTCCCCTCCCAACAAGATTATGTATCTACAGTCTCTCTTTTCCTCTGATGCTTATCACAATACGGCTATAATCACGCTTCAAGAGCTTTATGATGACAGTCTTGTCTCACTAATTGGTTTCACACTATGTAGACAAGATCGGACTTGTTTCAGAAAGAAATGTTGCAATTGGATTGCAACTTTTATTTATTTCCACTGGTGGATTTCAAACAGTGTATGTTTCACATACTCAAATGACTTTATTGATTACAGTACAGTCACATGTCGCTGCTGATGAAGAGTCCCAAACTAGGACGAAACAGCTGTCGAGTACTCCTAGGTTTTCCAGTGGTTCTCTAATTGATGTCAGCTAATGGTAAAATCCTCTACACAATCAAACAAAATCCCTACAAACGAATTCTTGAAAACTTATCAAAGCATAAACACAATTTTGTCTCAAACATTTACGTTACCCCCGGTTGTTCGCCCTCTGATCTATTTGATTTTGCAGACAAATTTACAGTTTTCGCTGCTGCTTATCTTGAGAACTCTACTTAGACAAAGTAGCCAAATATATCCGGTGTACCTTCCTTGATTACAGGTCTACTTTTGACTCTTTACCTAGATGCCTTTTGTTAAATAAGTTCTTTATGACACAAACCCAGTTCTGGGTTGTTAACTGGTTGCATTCTTATTTCTCGAACAGAATGCAGTATACTGTATACAAAGGCAAATCTTCCCCTCTGTCTTGCTTAGTGAAGCTGGAGTCCCTCAGCATGCTGTTCTCTCTCCTTTTCTTTTCTCTTTCTTCTTAAATGACTTACCTGTATCGGACGAAATCTTCCTTAAATACGCTGACAATCTGACCGTCTTTCTGCTAGTTACATCCCGATCTGACAGTTCCAAACTGAATAGCATTTTGTCGGACATCAGTCAGTGGTCTTACCTTAAATCCCTCTAAACGTCAGACAGGTAACTTCACCTTCAGGCATAAATGTGTCCGACAATAACCAGTCCGTTTACAAGATGCCTGTAGCATAGGTGGCACTGAAATCGGAATTAAGTTAGGCATAAAATACCTTGGGATAGTTCTATCCTCTGACCTTTCTTGATCGGTCATTCCATATCTTGTTGATTTCTAAGAAAATGTTCCGTCTAACCTACTACATTAAGAAGTTAACATAATCTGAAATCACTCCTACTTCTACGGTTTGTTAACTCTTGAATCTTACCAGTTGTTCTTTACTGCTCCCCCTTAGTCTTTCCTAAGCTGCTGCTGCCGCTGGATTCAACATAGAACTTGGCACCGAAGTGCAGCAGTTCGAGTTGCCACGTTCCAAATAGCACACAAAGGTAGACAAGGAGAAGATGAGTGAAGAGAATCAATAGAGTTTTGACAAGTGTAAGAGTGAAACAGAATGAGTAATGGTAGAAAGGAATATGAAAGATTACAGAGACTGAATACATCTGCGTAAGCCATTGACAACGATTTTGAGCCATGTCACCTATTGTCTCCAGCCATTGCTTCTTACAGTCCCAAGGGCGGGCCCCAACCCGGAAGTCTGCATCTCCCTCCCTACCTGACTCAGTTTAACTGTCAGCGATTTCATGGATTGATGCCATGTTTTTGTTTGGCCACCACTTACTCTTTTCCAACCTGCACCTATATCAGCTAGTAATGCCCGTCGGGAGGGGAAGGCGATGGTTAGGCATGCGCAGCACGTGACTTAGCCATCGCAGTCTATGTAACTTTATAGCCTCTTCGATTGATTTTCCCTCTTTGCCCAACACTCTATGCCTAACGTCAACATTACTTACCTTATTATGCCACCTAACGTGAGAAAGAGATCGTAAACATCTGTGGTCAAAAACAGACAATCCATATTTGACCCACACTTTATGTGATAGAGAAAGTGTTAAGTGTGAAACCTGCCGCTCACCATGTAATTAGCAAAATAATTGGCTATTTTACCCTCTCCTATTTGTAATCTATGGTCACACTATTTCATTTATCATTTTATAATTTTAGATATTGACATTATCATCACTGTCACCATTATTTTACACTTTGCTACGTCTCTGACTTTGTTGTCACTGGTAATATCGAAAAAGCTGTCATTACCAACTCTGGCTACATATGTCCTGTAATATTATTTATGTTTTTGTTATTGCTGTTGTCGAGTAGATTAGATGAAATGTTTTACCAAACGCTGAGAATTCCAGTCTGTATCATAGGTACCAATTTGGAATAAAGCAAATTGTTATTATCATTAATATGATGGGTGTCAGGCGATCCTTCAGTTAGGTCTTGTGCACTTTCTGATGTAGGAGTTGTAATGAGCTTGAGAGTAAAGTACTCACTGCTGGAGTGATCGCTTGTAGGCAGTTTTCTGTTTTTGCTATCTGACTGAATCGATATGCAAGAATAAGGAAATATAGTGACCAATATAGTGGACTACATCAATTACTCCTAGCTTAAAGATAGGAAGTGAATTGGTGGAGCGTGTCGACCACTTCACTTATTACGGGGGGGGGGGGGGAAGTTGCATCAGTCCCAGAGGGTTGATCGCTGACAAAATCTCAGCACGGATACAGAAGACTTGTTTGGCATTTGCTTGCCAACTCACGCCATCTCTGGCTTAACAGACGCAATATCCGGTTGGCTGTCGACCAAAGGACGTGTGTACTGAACAGCAGCAGCAGCAGTCACTTCGCTGAATTCTTAGTGATAGCTGGCTGGCTGGCTATGAGTGAGACATGGCCCCAATGAAAGTGAAGGACTTGAAAAGATGGCTAGCTTGCTGTCTTTCACCATGAATGTGTGTATTTTTCTATCTTGCATGTGTGTGTTAGGTGGCAGGTGGAGGGTTAATAGGGTGAGTAATATTTAGGTTAGGCTTCTTCCGTCGAGTGCTAGGAGGTAAGGAGGCGAAATCAATTGACGGAGGTGTGAAGCAGATGCATCGACTGATAGTGATTGTTAGGACATGTGTTGCTGTGCACACAGCCTAGCCGTCGCCTTCCTCAACAATGGGCAATGTTAGCTGACTGACATAGGATGATGGATCTTGTTGGAAAAGAGTTGGCTGTCGGTGGCCAAACGAAAACATGGTTTCATCAGTCAGCGAAATAAATGCATAACTGTTGATTTAAGCCAGCCAGCCAGATAGGGAAGGGGGTGTAAACTTCCATTCTGGTTGGGGTGGGTCCTCGAAATGTTAAGAATCAGTGGCTGCTGGGAACAATTGATAATATAACTGAAAATCGTTCTCAATGGCTGACGCAGATGCACTGACTCTTCTTTGTGCTTTGTCAGTCACATTCAATAAAACTTACTTTAGTTTTCTTTCATATCACTTACTATTCTTTCCCCCCACACTTGTGTTTATTATCTCTCTCTCTTTTTTGAATCCCGGTTTACTCTCCTCTCCTGATTGGTGAATGGAGGGAGATCGATAACTGGTACTGGTGAACATCTGTGCAGAGTTGAATGTTTAAGTCATTCAGTCAGTCAGTCAGTGATACTTGTTAGTCCCTTCCCATAATTCCTGCCTACATACCAAATGGCTGCTGCCCGGATGAAGTAAAAAATGAGTTTTATCAAAATTTTTCCAGTTTGCTCCTGGAAACAAAATGTTGACGAAATGACAAGTGTAGCAGTATTTTACAATAACTGTCTGTTTCTGACCAACACTAGTCTGAAATGTAAGGACAGACATCCCACCTTGCTACTAAAATTCACACCAAGTCGACGGTGAAGAGAAACAGGCCACTTAGCTATGAGTGAATAATGGACTCTGATTACGCATTAGTTACGTAAGTATGTGTATACCCGAAACTAGATGAAAGGAATTTGAGGAGCGAAGCTGTTCAAGTATAAGCTAGTTATCAATGACGTTCGTAAAAGCAAAATAAAAATGAAATAAATTAGTAACAGGATTTCATCATTAGCTGACATCGGTTAGAGAACCATTAGAAAGCCAGTACTCGAGTACTGGACAGCCAGTTGTTTCGTCAGCCTAGTTTGGGACTCTTCATCAGTTCACACCCACCCCAGTGGTGTTCGGACTCAGGACCTTCCGGTTTCAAGGCAAGCTGGTAGACCACTAAGCCATTGGGATCCGAAATGGAATAATTCTTCGTAGGATTATCCCAGAGGGATGCGCTTTACTAACATAATACCTAAAATCCTAGATTGTGGAGGCCAACGAAGACTAGTAATTCGGTAGATGGTGACTAGCAGTGAAATCCAGGAAAACGCGCATTTCACCCTCCCATTTGGGACTGGCTCTCCAGCTGGCTGTACCTCCATCCTCCAGTGAGTCAGTGATGATGTTCCCGCCTCTGAGGCTCGAACTCAGTACTCATCATTTCAAGCGCCAAAGTGTTATACACAAGACTACTAAGGCCAGGAGAGCCATCTCTTGTGCGACGTCTATCGGTTATTATTTAATTCAAGGGGCCAACATGTCAACCTGAGGCCAAACACTTCTGTCCAGTCAGTCAACGGGAAAGTTCCTACTGGGATTCATCAATTGCTAAATTTTTTGAGATGACTCTGTGGATTAAGAGATGTGTCAATGCATAGCTGTCAAAGAAATGCCAGGAAGTTCCATTGTTTACAGGATTTCATCAAGAGCTGACACTGGTTAGAGATCTTTTGGAAAACAAGCACTGGAGTATTGTACAGCTGTTTCGCCAGCCTAATTAGGGAGTCCATCATATCACGCCCACTGGGGTTCGAAACCAGGACTTTCTGGCTATGAGACGAGCTAGCTCGTAGACCATTAAGCCACTGGGACCAGATCCAATGGCCAGCCCATGAATTCTAACTTCTGCGTACTGATGAGGAGTCCCAAACTAGGTGGATGAAACAGCTGTCCAGTACTCCCCGCAGGTTCTCCAATGGTTCTCTAACGGATGTCAGCTCATGATGAAATCCTGTAACCAATCAATCAAATCCCTACAAACCAATACTTGAAAAAAAAGAAACTTAATTATTAAAGTGGTATAACTTTTATAATCAACACTAATACACATATAATAATAAGAATAATTGAAATACTAATACCTAATAATATATAATCATAGTCGGAATTTTTTTCATCATTATGTTTGAATACAAATTCACTTCGCATTGGACATTTATTTATTATTTTTGATTGTACTTCTACACGTTGTCCATCTAATGGATCATTATTTAAAGTTGTTTGACATAAATGAAGTGATGTGAATGGATATTTTTGTGCATTTTGTCCATCGTTATTATTATTGTATTCAGTAGTGTTCAATGTACAACATTCACGATAACGTGTACGTTTTAATTCATTAGTTCCACCTGTACAATACGCTCTCCATGGTAACCATGGTTGCCATTCACACCATACATATAATTGTTTACATTGACAATTATAATTTGATTCATTAATATTTAAATTTAACATTTGCTGATAGGCTTTTGTTGTATGCTGAGGATTGAATGGCAGACCATATTGATTCTTACCATTGTTATTATTATTATTGTCATTACCAATATCAATTAAATAATTATATGTTAATTGTAAACAATTAATTGATGATTTAAGAAATGTTCTTATCGGTGGAGGACAATTACACTTATAGATATTAATTGGTTTACATTGTATTTTATTTGCATAATATATCCACATACACTGAATTTCAGTTTGATTACAAATATTTGGAATTGAAATATTTGGGAGGGAAAAATATTTTGAATTTAGAAGATTATATTTTTTTAAATAATTATCCATTTGATTAGAATTATTCACATTTATTTTATAAAATAATAGTAATAATATTATACATAAAATAAACATAAATCAATATATATATGTGTGTATATAGATGTCGTTATCTTCGTTTTCAATAACATTGACTATTATCAACACTACTTATAATAATAACAGTAGTAATCCTACATCATTGCATAAAAGACATAAAGATTAAGTGCATAAATTAATCAATTCCTTATATATATATATATATATATATATATATATATATATATATATATATAGGCATAATATATATTAGAAGAGAATCGATTTTTTTTAAAATAATTAATTATCGATCAAACATGCGTGTTAGATATTTTAAAAGCTTAGTATGCAAAATTCACCCTATCATGCTTTAGTTAGATGGATGAACGTTAGAAACTACTCTTAAATCTCCTGTATGAACGGATAGATAGTGAAATACAGCGTCAAAGATGTATTTTGATTCGTAGACATGACAGAATTGCCTTCCTGGATATCCTCCTTACAAGAAAACCAGATGGTATCATAAAAAGAAATTTGCATAGAAAAAGTACTTGGACAGGACAATATACACACATTTTCACAGCTTCGTTCCTATCAAGTACAAAAAAAATTTAGTGAAGACCCTCAGTCACACAGAGTTAGAGCTATATGCTCAGAAGAAGTAACTGAAGATGAATTAAGCATTGTATATGATACTTTGATCGAAAATAGCTATCCCGAAAAATTTATCAAGAAACACATGACAAAGAAAGCGGAAAAGGACTACTCACTATCCGTGAACAAGAAGCCACTTTATATACGACTACAATTCAAGGGCGATATACCACGTGAGATAATTACGAGGAAATTAAGAAAATCAGTTCAAAGAACTTTTAATGCTGGCGAACTACACGTCTTATTCTCTACACGACCGATGGTGCTACCTCGACTGAAAGATGAAGTACCTAGACTAGCCAACTCAAATTGTATCTGCCAATTCAACTGCGCTTGTAGTGGAGCGAGTTATATTGACCGTTACTCTAGGAACTTGATTTTTCGTGCTCACTCGAGAACATCTCCCACTATGGCTAAGTAAAGGTGTAGTAAAAACCATTAACACTTCGATATTGGACCATCTGGTCCAAACCGGCCACAAAGCCAGCCGGCATTAAGGAATCCTTCTCTATCATCTACCAGGTGCCTAATAAATTGCCAAAATCATTGAAGCACCACATGCTCCAAACAGCAGAGGCTATTGCAATTCGCCTCAAACAACCAGTGCTCTCTGTTCAAAAGAAGCAAATCCAGCTAGCCCCTACTACTGCCCTGGCCGGCCTTCAGTAGAGACTATAAATTCATGAAGCTGTAATATTATCTTTCCTAATTTTTCTGACATTCAGCTTATTGTCATGTTGATGCTATTGAACTGTAATCTATCAATATTGTTGATTCGATGTTATTTAAACAACATTAATTATGTTCATAACACTAATTCATTCATTCATAATAATGTATATATAACTGTACAGCCTGATGATGAAGGCGTTATCGAAAAGAGTACTCTTTGTTCAATATCCATTCTTTTGAAAATCAAAGATATTAATATCAAGGATATAACATCTTCATTCACAAATGTATCTCCAAGAGACACGATTAACTACATAATATATGAACAAGTGTATAACAAGTTGAAAAATGTTGGTATTCCAACTGAAATCCTAAAAGAATTTTGTTATTAAGGTGTACCATGAATGTGAATTTTAAATATGATGGCACACTTTACAGACAAGTATAAAGAGTCCCATATTGGCAGATTTCTGTCTAAGTAAACTGGAAAATGGTCATTTGAACAACCTTATCAGAAAATTCTCATTTTATTGCCCATATATGGATGCTACCTTCATTCTGCGTGAAAATGATTGTGACAGGAACACAATAATAACTCAGTTCAATGATGTACGTACACTCCGATGCCAATTTCACATGTGAAGCGGAGTCCCAGTATAGAATTGCCTTCTTAGATGTCCTTTTTACAAGAAAGCCAGATGTTAGTTTAGTGAGAAATTTGCATAAGAAAAGCACGTGGACAGGATAATATACCCATTTTCATAGCTTCGTTCCTCACCAGTACAAAAGAAATTGATTTAGGACCCTCAGCCTCAGGGTCAGAGCTATATGCTCAGAAGACGTTACTGAAGATTAACTTAGACTTGGTTGTATATGAGACCTTAGTTGGAAATACCTATCCAAAAAAGTTCATCAAGAAATAAATGACCAAGAAAGTAGAAAAGGACAATTCTCTATCTGTCAATAAGAAGAAGCCTGTACTCATGCCACTATAGTTCATCAAGGGTGCCGTACCGAGTGATGAAATAATTACTAACAAGTTAAGAAAATCTATTCACATCAAAGAACTTTTAATGCCGGTTAACTACAGGTCATATTTTCAACACGATTTGTTGTGATTCCTCAGTTGAAAGATGAAGTACCTAAACTGGACTGGCCACCCCTAATTGTATCTACCAATTCAACTGAGCTTGTGGTGGAGCGATTTATATTGCCTGTTGCTTTAGGAACTTGATTCTTCATGCTCACTCGGGAACACCTATCAGTGTGGTGTAGCTGAATAAAGGTGTACTGAAAACCATTATCAACAGCTCGATATTAGACCGCCCCGTTCAAACTGACCAGCCACAAAGCCAGCTACTATTTAAGAATACATCGCCGACAACATCCAGGTACTGAAAACAACAAACAGAGGAGGCTATGGGGATTCGTTTAAAACAATCTGTGCTCTGTGTGTGCGTGTACAGAAAAAATAGGTCCGGCTAGCCACCCAGTCCTTATCACTGCCCTGGCCAGCCTTCTGTAGACTCTATAAATTCATGAATTCCGTATTATTATTATTTTTCCTAATTTGTCTGATATTCAGTGTGAAGTGTAGTGTTATGTTAATGCAAATTATCACACTTACGGATGCTATTGAACTGTATTCTATTTATATTATTGATTATTTTGATTTTATTTAAACAACACATTAATGTTGTTAATAACCCTAATTCTTTCATCATTATTATGGATGGATATATAACTATAGAACATGATGAAGAGTAGGTTATCGAAAAGAATATTCTTTTTTCAGTAGTAATCAATCTTTTGTAATGAATTATTTTCTGTATGCTGAAATTTAATGCACAGTTCACTTAAATTCAGTTATTGCAGTAGATAATTAGACAATTTCAAATGTTAGGTTTCTTCAAACTTTGAGTGTTGTTTAAATAAATGAAGTATTTCTAACAGGATACTGCAGTCACTTGGCCATTTGTTCTATACTGAAGATCAGATGGCTAGACAGAAAGGACAAGAAACAAGAAACTCTGAGAACGAATCAACAAAGAACTTGATTGCCCAAAAATATGCAGAAGGAAGTAAAGCAGATGAATTGCACACACACTGAGTAGACGGTTGAGAGACACCTACCCGGTCAGGACCTTGAGTGGGACATGAATTGAAAGCGGTGAGTTTGGCGTTGGTCCTAGATTGATAAGAATCAGCTTAAAATAGTAATCATCTTGTGACTCATCATATGATTCATCCTGGAATCGAATGACTGCAAAATTTCATCATCTTTTTCGTACCTTCGTAGTGGTCAAGTTGTCAACCAATCAGATTATTTATTTGTCGTGGATCTAATCGAATCGCCTACCAATCAGAACGATTTATTTCTAATGCCCTTGGACAGATTTGAATGTGGCTAAAATATATATAAATATGATGAACATTTTTTCTCAATAAAAATTACATCCTAACTGTCACAGGTTAGTCTTTGTCTCTTTATATTTACTTGGGCGGCGAAGTTCAACAATAGAGTCCCAGCATTGTAAATGTTCCAATGACCTTGTGAATGTTCCAATGACCCTGAACGCATGCTAGTCATTGGTTGAGGAAGCTCACCATTATTCTAGCGCGAATAATTGTGCATACTGGTAAGTGACACTGAATTAATTGTCTTCTAGGAACTTTCTTTGAAAAGTTGAAACTGTCTTTGATGATTGGTTGTTATTGGTGTCGAAAGTTTAACTTTGCCTGAATACCTTGTTTCTGTCCAATTACTGGGCGCCAGAGCGAATAACGTCTGAGTTTTAGGAATTTATGATACCTAGGTTCGCAAAGGGTTTATGGAGCTGATTCTAGATAGGAGTGCTGGTACACTCCTCCTCCGTATTATTCAGCGACTAGTATTACCAGGCACCACCATTCACACAGATGAATGGGCGGGATATAGCCAATTATCACAATTGGGATATATACATCATAGAGTGAACCATTCGAATGATTCCGTCGACCCTGTCACCGGTACTCATAATAATTCCATCGAAGGTTTCTGGGGAAGATTAAGGAATAGAATAAGAGCTATAAATGGTTCTCGAAACCAAGTTATTTTTAGTCATCTGGATGAATACATGCATAGAAATTGGTTCAGTTTAAGAACTGAAACCCCTTTACAAAATTGGGAGATACTTTTATCTCACATTAGAGAAAAATATCCTGTTTAACGTTTTCTATGCTTTTTTATGTAAAAATACGTAAACTTTTATGCAAAATCATCCTTTTTTCTGACTGGTCGGCTCAAGGTCACTTGTGCGTTCACATTGCTTGGGACTCTATTGTTGAACTTTGCCCTTGGCTTAGTGAACTGGAAGGTGCCATGGACAAATAGGCGTATTTAACATATCATTTGAGTCGTTCCTTGTGTCAGTATTATTATACCTATGCTTAAGTTCACTCGGTCATATCAGCTGTCAACGAGATCATATCAACTGGTGACATAGATCAAAACCAACTGGAGACGGTGTTATTTAATTCAATGTCGGCATAACAAAGATTCACACTGAGATCGTGTGGAAAAGAAATTAAGGGAATCCTATGGATTGCATGGAACATAATGAAATGCAGGTGTAGCGTTGCAATCAGAATTCAGTGGGAATAATAACCATCTTTAACTGATTAAA